GAGTGGATAGACAAAAATGTGGTGTCTCCATACAGTGGAATGTAATTCAGCTGTAAAAGGGGATGAAGTAGTGATAGATGCTACGACGTGGGGGACCCTTGAAAACGTTATGCTAAGTGAAGGCAGCCAGTCACAACCTATACTGTTTGATTCCACTTACATGAAATATCCAGGATAGGTAAGTCTGTGTCGAGAGAAAGGAGATTAGTGGTTGCCAGGGGAGGGGGTGGAGGGATAGGTAAAGGGTAAGGTGCTTCTTTTTGGGGATGATAAAAATCTAAAATTGAATGTGGTGATGGTTGGATAAATCTGTGACTAAACTAAAACCCACTGAATTGTACACTTGAAATGGATTTATGGTATGTGAAATATACCTCAGTAAAACTGAAGGAAAAACTGTCATTGAACCTCACATACCTGGGTAATCATAATAGACGGGCCCTCTATCATTATATAAACTTCAAAAACACAAGTGTTTGTGGCTGTATAATATTCCAACGGGCGCGTATTGGGTAACCAGCAAAACCAGTAGTCTGCCACGGCTGGCTGTTCCCGGGGAAGAGAGTTGGGAGCTTGAGGAGAGGAGGACAGACGGCTTACTTCCAAAATACATCTTCATTGCAAAACTGCTTGGATTTTTTTTTTGTTTGATTCACTTTTTTATTCATTAATGAAGGATCTTTATACTCTGTCCCTAATGTGTTATTTTTTTCCCTCATTATTTTCTTACTTTCCCATATTCATATGCATTTAAAAAAAATTTAATTGTAGTAAAATATACATAACAAAGTTTACCATCTTAACCTTTTCAAGCGTACAGCTCAGTGGCATTAAGTACATTCACGTGGTTGGGCAACTGTCACCACCATCCACCTCCAGAACTCTTTTCATGTTGCAAAACTGAAACAACATACACATTAAACAGCAACTCCCATTTCTCTCCCCCCAGTCCCTGGCAACAACCTGTCTGCTCTGCCTTTAGAAATTTGATGGCACTCGGTTCTTCAAATAAATGGAGCCACACAGTGTTTGTCCTCTGGTGACTGCCTTATTTCACTCAGCATAATGCCTGCAAAGTTCATTTATATATGTATCGAATATACATGTCATCAATATTTTAATTCTTCGCCAGTAAAAGAAGACTAATTACTTGTCAAAAAAAATCACAATATACACTTCTAATATAAAGTTAAGGGAAAGGCAGGAATCAAAGCTTTCTGTAAAATGTCATTACAACTTTGAAAACGATATCACACACATTGGAACTCAGCAGAAAAAATGAGAAGTTTCTAGCAATGATAGTGATTATTTCTAAATGGGTTACGGTTACATTTTGTGTTCTATTTTTATGTTTTTCTCCTTATTCTAGAATGAGGATGGTATGTTTATAATCAGGAAAAAGCAAATGCCATCTAAGAAATAGGTATTTCACCCTCAGGGGGGGAAAAAAAAGCTTTACCTGAACTTTTTCAGGATGCCCTGAGTTTACTAAGTTCCTCTAGCCCCATAAGTTAAATGCATTTACTGCTGTCAATTCCTGTATCCCATCTGGAGTTAGGAAAATAACACTTATCTTGGCCAACAAATGCATTCAGTAGGTGAGTCTGAGGTCAAAGAACAAGTGATAAAAGAGTGTTTTCTACCTGAGTAATCTGTTTGGCTCCCAACAGTCTCCTCCAGTTTGATCCTGCCAAAAATTTCCCCCTTTAGAGGTATCTCATTGGGGAAAGTGGGGCTGTTCCAGTGGTACTGGCTCAGGAGAGCTGATTGTACCTGCGGTTCAGTAACATCAAGTGACAGCTTGAAATTGACTATAGTGGAAGTACTTACACCATACAAAATGGGGGGCCCCACAGATCACGCACCCCCACCAGCAGCAGTCAGAGTCTGTGGTTAGACCTTCACCAGCACACCTCTGGGTGCTTTCTTACGGTGGTGGGTGAGCTATCCTCCTCTCTTCAGCTCTTAGCTGTCTATTTCTCAGGGAACTGGATGGTCATTTTTCCTGATTCTTCTGCAAGGAGCACTTTGCCTTCTAGGGGTAGATCTGCCTTCCAAGTCCTATGGTTCTTTCCCAGTTGGAGGCACCAAGGTCCACCCTCCTGTTCTCAAGTCCAGAAAGGAGTCGAAAATAGTAGCCATTTGACAGGCTGTTCCTCAAGGTGCCAGCCTGTGCGTCCCAGGCCCATCCAAGGGAGCACAGGTATGGTTTTGTCATTTACCTCTTAGTGCTTGAAGTGAGGGGCGCAGAGCTGGATCTGAGGGCCCAGGCTGCTACCCCCAGCTGTCTCTGCCTGGCAGCCCTTTCTGAACCCCCACCCCCCCGCCCCGAGAATATCCAGGAGAAGCAGGTTGTTGCTAAGAAACCTTTCAGCATTACTTCTAGGGAGGGGTCAGGACACAGGGAGTAGTGGGCAGAAATAACAGGTTGCCTGAGAGCTTCAAAGACCCAGGCTACAGACGGGCTGGCTCTAGAGTCAGGTGGGAGCCCCATTCTGCTTCTCCCTCCAAGGTTGATCAAGACAGCACTGGCTCAGGCCTGGGTTCAAATCTGGGCTCTGCCATTTACTTGCTTTGCAACTTGGCCTCTCTGAGCCATCTGTACATTGGGAACAGTAATGCCTACCTCTCTGGGTTGTGCTGAGGATTCAGTGAACTAACATATGTGAAGCACTTAGCCCAGAGTAAGATTTTTTGAATTCATGGGAGAAAAAAGAGCAAGAAAACAAAAACAGCCATGTGTAGCTGACTGAGCAGAGAGGTGTTTGAGCCCCATGTTTAATACATGATTGTGGGATTTGGGATCCCCAACAGGCTCTGTCAGTGTGCATCTCAAAATGATAGCCCCTCAAAGCAATGTTTTAAAGACCGTTATTGAGTCTGTCTGTTCATGTCAACTCACTTTACCATCGCTACCATCCCATGAGGTAAATATTAGCTATTAGGTACAGTTGGTGAAACTAGGGCTTGAAAGGCTCCTACCTTGCTAGACTACATAGTCACCCACCAACTTACTGGTCACAGATCTAGGAAGGGCACTTTCTATTGTCCAGAGTACCTGGACATAAGACCAGATGTCAGAACTGGGTGTTCCCTAATGGCTCTTGTCTCCGGGACAGAGGGGGTGGGTGTGCCCACACAGAGTGGTCTCGGGGCTTCCTTCGAGCCCCGCTCAGCGTAATGCCCATGTCTGCTGTCCCTGCGACACCTAAAGCACCCAGACCATGGCAGCCTTTGTGTAAGTGACAAGATTTGAACTTTGTTTGGCAGGACTTGGAGTCAGACAGACATGGGTTCCAGTCCTGGCTTTACCACCAACTGGTTTTGTGGTCTGGAATTTACCTTTTTCTATAACTGTAGGTTTCTCACTTATAAAATGAGATCAAATGATTCCTTAGGTCCAAGGGTTGTAGGGAGGGCCCAGGGAGATTAAGTTTCTGAAGTGCCTTTGGAAAAAGGCCCCAGCCATGCACATGTGAGGTGCTATTATCAGCATCATACATGTGAAGGGGGTTGATCTTTTTGAGTGTAGGGAACTGGTCTTAAGAACCATGCATTTTGACTCAGCAGACACATCAGGAGGGCCTGCTCTGTGTAATTCCCCTGAGCAAGGCACTACCAGCATCACACAAAATTCCAGACCCTTAGCAGAAAACTTGTCAATTATTGATTTTACTTGTATCTTGATAACTTCATTGAGCAAGTGAGGGGTTTGTTGAAAAGCCTGAGAAGCTGCAGTATCAAAACCAACGAACTTTCATTTGTTTATTTAACAACTATATATTGGGTGATAACAAGGTGCCAGGCGCTGGGAATACAGGAAGCATCCGTCTAAGATAGCCTTTATTTTCCATCACAAGGGGAAAAATGAAAACCAAAACGAAACGGAGAGGGAGAGGAGGAAGACTGTCAGGAGCCGGCTGAAGCATCAAGTCATCGAGCAAAAGAGGGAGAAAAAGGCTTTGCAACTCGATGGCTCATTGCACCAGGCAAACTTTTTTTATTGCTTTCAAGAGGATTTCATCATGGAAGAAGTATTTCAGTCACGGGCCTTTGAGCAACAGAACGAATGATTTTCTTAATTGCAGTTTTTGTTGTTTCCCCAGCATTTCATGATGAGGTGATGGGGAAATTTTCCAAAATAGAAAAATTGAAGGAACACAAACAACCATATCTCCACCTCCCAGGGTATACAATTACTGTTTTACTGTATTAATTGCAAGTTTTTTTAAAAGAAGTTTCTGGTAGGGTTGTTTCGAGTATCAGCCCTTCCTGAGGATATCACAACCCGGTGTCCCCAACGACAGAAGGACGGGATGCGACAGTGGCAGAGAAGAGAGGAGTATAGTGTGTAGTTTTCTGCGAAACAGACTGGATGGGGGTGGAGGAACCAAAAAGGAAAAACACAAAAAGCTCCTGAGAACGAAGTTCCTCTGGCTCCTGGGCCCTCGCTCTGACTCGTGGTCTCGGCCGTTTGTAGGACAGAAGTCTCGTGGCTGTTTTTGGCCGGGAGGTCTAAAGGATCATCTTTCTCCAGCTCTAGACTTGCCTTCGTTCTGCCAAGGGTAGAAAAGGCAGCGATGGCGGCCCTGGCGCCCGCCCGGAGCACAGGAAGACACATGGCAATCCCTAGAGAAGCTAAGCTGGGACGCCGAGGGGACACTGAATTCTGTAGTTTGGCAGCGGGACCCTCCTGCTCGCGACGCTCCTCCGGGTGCTGCAGCCGGAGCGCCCGGGAGGGAGCCACTGGCAGCCCGAGGGGAGGGGTGCCGTCCTGCGGCAGCTGCAAAGCTCTGCCCGGCCCAGCTGTCCCCGCGACTCCCGGCTGCAGCTCAGGGCGGGGTGGGCTCGGGGAGGGCCCAGCCTCTGCGCTCCTCCCCCGGCCGGGCCCGAGTCGGCGAGCCCGGGCACGCGCCCTTTGCATAAAGCCCTCCTCCTCGGCCAAGGTAGAGGAAGTTGGGCTCCCGCCTGGATGGGAGGTGGGAGGGAGACCTGCTCCTGTTGTTTTCCGCCAGCAGCCGTGGGTGCGGGCGGGAGGGGCGGGTTCACCCTCCCAGCCCGGGCCAAGTGCTCGGGAGCGAGAATCACATCGGGAGCCCAGCTCAGCTCTCAGCCCCGACATCGGACTCACCCCAAGCATCCTTCCCGGGTGCTGCGGAAAGTGGAGCTATTCTGTCGTTGTGAGGACCTGGGAGGAGCACTTGGTACCTAAGGGGCCAGAGCCCTGTGGGGCGTACACCCAGCCTAGCCAGACCCTGCGTTTCCTGAGGGGCCCCTGCCCGCTTGTGGCGCGAGATGGCCGCGCGGGCGCTCAAGCCCCGGGTCGTCCTCTGCCTTGGGGCGCTGCTGGCCCTCTGGGTCGCTGCAGGTAAGGGCCGCAATCTGGAGGGAAAAGTTGAGTTTTGCCAGGCAACGGTGGGGAGGAGGGAAAGGCAGGGACTGAATTCCCTCCGACTCTGCCGGACCCGGTTGTGGCTGCGGCCGCCGCGAAGCCGCGCGGGGTGGGTCTTGAGTTTCCTGCTCGCAGCTCGGCTCTCTTTGCAGAAAGGAATTTTCCCCGGCGCTCTCGGCGGAGTGTAAGATATCTCCACGCTCTTGGAGTGGGCAGCCGGCAAGCTGCAAGGGCCTGCGGAGAGGTGATGGGAAAATCGGGGAAATTGAAGATGGGAATTTTGAAGCTGGGAAAATTAAGAGGCATGTGTAGAGGGGAAAGTGTTGTTTTTTAAGCGTCGGATGTAAATTCGCATTCTGGTTTTACTTGCTGAGCAGGTGCTCAAAGTCGAGGTTCCTTTATTTTCCTCTCCTCCCTGTCTCTGCCCAAGGTTGAACTTGACGTACACCTGTAACCTGTGGATTTCCCTGCACACCTCTGCAAGTAGACCTGTGTGGACTAGTGCATTTAAAGCCGTGCCTTCTTACCTAACCTAATTTTTTTCTTTTTTTTGTAATAATTTCAGGCTTACAAAAAACTTCTCCTACACTTGACAGGACCTCTTTCCGCTGACATGATTGGCTAAAGGTCATAAATGCCTTATCTATGCTCTGCCTTGTAACAATAAAGAGTAGAGGGTTGGTTACAAAAATATGTATTATACAAAAAGATTGAAAAAAATAGCTTTAAATTTAATTCACCAGAGAATGCATGTCTGCTTTACGCAGGGCTGTGGGACCGGCAGTGAGAGGTCTTGGGTGGAGAGAAAGAAGGAGGAGCCGGGTGGTAATGTAGTTTGCGGGAATGCTCATGGACACTATTTTCTGTGTTGCCCAGTCCCGCGCACCCAGCGGATCGCTTGTAGGTTGCTGCAGGAATTGCTTCCTGAGCTTCCTAGCAGCAAGTGCCAAAAGTTCCTGTTAGGCTAACACAAGTTTTTTTGGTGTTTTGTTTTCGGCAATCATTTAAAAATAGTAAAATTTCCCATAATCTAGGTTTCTAGTTTATCTGGGAAAAGAAATCTGAAGATCTGGCAGCACAGGGCCTGCTTCGCTACCTGGAACCAAGCAGTGGTCATCCCTTTTATCTAGGGCATGTGACCCCACATTTGTTTCACCTCTCCCTGTTGTATTACTTACCCCCGGCTCTATTTTGACTTAGTGGCCGCTGTGCTGGTGGGGAGGAGAAGAGGATAGATAGGTCGCAAGTGGCTGACTCTGAAAGTTCCTTTCTCCCCAGCTATTTGCGGTGTTTACCGCGCTGTGGACTCCAGGGGCCTGGGGACGCCAGACTCTGGTTTGGAATCATCATGCTGGAATGAACGGGCTTTCAGGTTGTCTGTGGCTCACCACACAGGAACGCTTCCTCCACTTCCATGCCAAGTTTTTTTTTTCTATCCTCACCTGAGGACATGCTTACTGATTTTTAGAGAGGGGGGGAGGGAGAGAGAGAAAGGGAGGAAAAACACCCATTGATTGGTTGCCTCTCGTAAGTGCCCGGAATGGGGATCAAACCCGCAACCTAGGTATGTGTCCTGACGGGGTAGAACCTGCGACCTTTGGGTTTATGGGACAACACTCCAACCAGCTGTGCCACACCAGCCAGGGCATGCCCAGTTATTTTGATGCCCAGGCCAAGTTCACCTTTGCATACAGCTGAGAGCTTCCCTAGCTTGTTATATTTTTTGTTGTTTGTTTTTCTAAAAAATTATTTTATTGGTTTTAGAGAGAGAGAGGAAGTGGGGTTGGGGAGAGATCAAGTTGTTGTTCCACTTATTTATGCCTTCATTGTTTGCTTCTTGTGTGTGCCCTGACCTGGGGATTGAACCCACAACCCTGGCGTATCAGGACAGCAATCTAACCAACTGAACTACCTGGCCAGGGCATTTTTTGTTTTTCAAACAGGGAGTTGTCTTGGGAAAAAATTTGTCTTTTTCCTGTCACTTAACTCCAGACAATATTCATGCCTCCACGGTTGCTCAGATTATAAACCCCAGGTCATTCTTGGGGAAAAGTTGCTAGGAAAGAAAAAAAATGTTTGGGTACAATCCCAACTCTGTAAATGAGAATATAAGGGCAGCACTGGAAAAAATGATCATTTATATTGCTTTCTCCTTTGTTCCATTGGGAGACACCATGTGGATGACTTCTAGCAACACAAACTGTTACTATGTCTTATTGTCTCACACTGTGCGGTTGGGAGACCAGAATAAATCCCTGTGATCTGGAGGAGTGGAAACCTAAATGGCCATCCAAGCTCTCCCAGTGAGTTACAGGGCTTAAGTAAATTACTTCAGCTTCCTGAACCTCGGTTTTCTCAAGATAAAAGGAGGGGTTATAGGACAACCAGTCATGGAACTTGCGGACCCTCAGGGACTAGTCCTTCTTTGCCTGCTTCACAGACATCACTGACTAATGACTATTCTGCACTGAGCCAGGACTCAGCCTGCCTCATTGTTAACCCAGCCCACAGAGCTGTCACATGTAAAAGATCTCCAAGGTCAGCTTCAGCTTCATCAGTTGGGTATCCAATCTTTCGGCATCTCTAGGCCACACTGGAAGAAGAGGAGTTGTCTTGGGCCACACATTAAATACACAAACGCTAACAAAAACTGATGAGCAGGAAAAAAAAAGGTTTTAAGTAAATTTATAGTTTTGTGTTGGGCTGCATTTATAGCCATCCTGGGCTGCAAGCATCCTGGGCTGCATTCTTTTAAAAAGAATGGAGTGAGTTGCCTTGGCTGAGTTGCTCAGTTGTTTGGAGCATTGTCCTGTACACCAAAGGGTTTTGGGTTCGATACCTGGTCGTGGCACATACCTAGGTTTCAAGTTCAACCCCCAGTTGGGGAGTATACAGGAGGCAACCGATTGATGTTTCTCTCTCACATTGATGTTTCTCTCTCCCCGCCACTTCCTTTCTTTCTAAAGTCAAAAAACAAAACCTTGGGTGAGGATATATCCTTATAAAAAAAATAAAAGAATGGAGTGAACAAAGCCAGGAGGAGAAGTAAAGTGCCTTAAAATGGGTTCTTCTGTGATTATGTCATTCTGTTCCTTAGAGGAGAAGACAATGTTAGCTCAAGTTCCAAGACTAAAGTTTCACCAGGGCTTTCCCAAGTTCCTTTACTCATCTGCCAGGGCGCCAGGGAAGGGGCAGGTCTGCAGGACTCAGGAACACACATTGCATTTGCAGTTCTACAGCTCATCTTCTTTCCTAAGCATGGATTATCACTGAGATCTTGGGTTCCTGAACCTAGTTTTTTAAAATGAATTCTCACCTGCTTTTTGAAGTGACGGTTCAGAAGCATTTCTTGTTCTTTTGGAATCTCTAGCATTAGATGACATTCTCTGCCTGACAGCAAGTGGCTTAGATTTATTTCCTCCTGTCCTGGCTTCCAGGCATGGTGTGGCCAAAATGGAGAGAGAATCAGGACATCCTGTGGTTCCAGGCTGTGGCTTCAAATCTTTCGAATGGAGCTCCTTCTAACTAGACGAAAGGCTCAGTACAGATAACTGTCACTCTTTATTTTATAAATGAGAAGGAATCCCATAAGGCAGGTAGCAGGTTGGTTTTTATTTTTATAACAGGTCTGTGGAGATATAATTCACGTACCATAAAATTCACCCTTCTAAATTGTACAGTTTATAGTTTTTAGTATAGTCACAAGACTGGGCAACCATCAGCACTAATTAGTTCCAGAACATTTTCATCATCCCCAAAGAAGCCCTATACTCATTAGCCTTTGCTCCCCACCTTCCCACTACTCCACTTCGTCCAGACCTCGACAACTGCTAATTATTTTTTTATCTCTATAGATTTGCCCTTATTGGGCATTTCAGATAAATGGACTCGTAAAAGTTTGTGGTCTTTTGTGACTGCCTTCTTTCACTTAGAATAATGCTTTCAAGATTCATCCATGTTGTAGCGTGTACTTCATTCCTTTTTATGGTCAAATAATGTTCCTATTGTATGGCTGTACCACATTTTATTTATTCATTCATCAGTTGATGAGCATTTGGCTTGTTTCTACCTTTCTTAAAAAAGGTTTTATTTATTCATTTTTAGAGAGGGGAAGAGAGGGAGAAAGAAAGGGAGAGAAACATCAATGTGTGGTTGCCTCTCACATTCCCCCTACTGGGGACTCTGGCCTGCAACCCAGGCATGTGCCCTGACTGGGAATCGAACCAGCAACCCTTTGGTTTGCAGGCTGGCATTCAATCCCCTGAGCCACACCAGCCAGGGCATATTTCTACCTTTTGACTGTTAGGAATAATGCTGCAGTGAGCATGCATGTATAAGTTTTTGTGTGGACATATGTTTTCATTTCTCTTGGGTATACAACTAGGAGTGGAATCGCTGAGTTGTACCATAACTGTAACCTTGTGAGAAAATGCCAAACTGTTTTCCAAGGTAGCTGGACTATTTAAAAATCCTACCAACAATGTATGTAAGAGTGCCCGTTTCTCTACATCTTTGCCAACACTTGTTATTGTCTTTGATGTTAGCCATTTTGTTGGGTGTGGAATGGTAGGTATCTTACTGTGGTTTTGTTTGTGATTCATGTCAAGTACTAGCCAGTAATCCCAACAGTGTAGGGCCTCTGTGTGTGACTGCCTCTGAAAAACACATACCTGATTTTTTTTTTTTAAACTCCTGATGTGGAAGGATTGTGCAAAAAAGGAGATTGTTCAGAGATCAAGAAGGGTGGTAATAGCCTGACCTTTCCTTGTACAGGATTGGAGGCTGTCGTCATCGGAGAAGATCATGAGAACATTACTCTGCACTGTGGCAACATCTCAGGAACGAGGGGCCTAGTGACCTGGTACCAGAATGACTCGGAGCCAGTCTTCCTCGTCTCCTCCAATGCCAGCCTCCTGCCAGCCAAGCCACGCTTCTCTCTGGTGAATGCCAGCTCCCTGCACATCGAGGCGCTGAGCCTGCAGGATGAGGGGAACTATACCTGCTGGGAGGTCCTGAATGAGACTCGGCAGTTCCGAGTGGGGCTGCAGGTGACCAGTAAGTGGGCTGAGAGGGCCTTGGGACTGGCTGGGGGGTGCTCAGAGCATGAGACAGGGGGAGCGCTTCAGAGTCAGTGCCCTGGGTTTCATCCTGGGCCCTGCCACCTGTACGCCAAGTGATCTCTCGCACCTGTATTTCCTTATCTGTAAAATGGGGATAAAAAGAATTCTTGCCTCATAGAATTGCTGTGGTGAATAGATACCAGTTGACCTATATAAAGTACTATAAATGGCTCTTGGCATAGTAGTTAGCCATTACTTTTAGCTTGTTGTTAATATTGTTTTACTATTAATATTTTATTATGCAACAAAGTCTGAGTATAACATAATGGAGTCAGACTTCCTGAGTTCCAACCCTTGCGCTGTCACTTAGTTCTGTGTCATTTTGAGTGAGTAACTTAATATCTCTGAGCTTTGGTTATTTTTTAAAATATATTTATTGGGGATAATACATTGCATACCTTACCAGGCATGTGCTCTTATGTTATAATGCATAGTACAGGTCTTGGCATGAGCTACTATTACTACTGTGCTTTCTAAAATCAGTCCAGTGTCCATATACATGTATGAATTTAGAGCATGTTGTTGGCAAACTACAGCTTGTGGGCCATATCCAATCTGCTGTCTATTTTTGTATGGCCTGCAAACTATTCATATTTTTTTACATTTTAAATGGTTGAAAAAATCAAAAGAAGAATAATATTTGTGACATGTGAAAATTATATGAAATTCAAATTTCAGTGCCTATAAATTAAGGTTTTATTGGGATACAGCCACACTTGTCCATATTATCTCTGAATGCCTTTGGTGCTACAACAGATTGTATGGCCTGCAAAGCCTAAAATATTTATTCTCTGTCCCTTCACAGGAAACATTTGCTGGTCACTTGTTTAGGGGGATATCCACATTTTATATCTAGGCTGTGTAGTTGAGTAGAAATACCCATGTGGTCACTTTGCTGTTCCCTCATTTCCTCATCTGTAACATAAAGAATGTACTCATTCCTTTATTAAATATTTCCATCCTGAGAGCCCAATGCCAGGCACTGTTCTAGGCACTGGGCCACGGGACATGCAAGGTCCCCACCTGCATGGAGCTGATCTTCTAGTCAGGGGACAGACAGACAGCAAGCAAACAAACAGATGCATCAGGCAATCTCAGAGTGACAAGTGCTATGCAGAGAATGGAAGCGGGGTGATGTGATTCTCTGAAATACTTTGCAGTGGGGAGGGAGTCAGAGAAGAGTTTTTGGAGGGAGTGGTATTTAAGATGAATGATAAGTAGGAGCCAGTCATACAAAGATAAAAAAGAATGCAATGCAGGCAGCAATTCAACTAATGCAACATGGGTTGAGCATGGTGCATGCTCAGATGGGGAGAAGGCTGGTGAGATGGGAACCCCAGTGTATGAGAGGCCTGGATGTGTGAGATTTGGGTGGGGGGCAAGGCAGGACTGGTGATATAACTGAAGTCTTAACCCCTGGTACCTGTGAATGTTGCGTGATTTGGAAATGGGATCTTTGCAGATAAAGTCAAGTTAAGATGAGGTCATTAGGGTGCATCCTAGTTAAAATGGACTAGCATCCTTATGAGAAGAGGAAAGTGCATGTGAAGACAGAAGGAGAACATCATATAACTACAGAGGCAGAGAGTGGAGTGATGCAGCTTCAAGCAAAAGAAAGCCAAGGATTAATGGCCAACACCAGAAGTGAGGGAAGAGGCCAGGAAGGGTTCTCTTCAGAAGGAGTGCATCCCTCCTGACACCTTGATTTTGGACTTCTAGCCTCCAGAACAGTTAAGAGAATCAGTCTCTGCTGTTTTAAGCCATCTAGTTTATTGCACTTTGTAAGGAATTGGAATTTTTTTCTGGCTGTGAGAGATATTTCTGGAGCTGTCATTAAGCACGGGCGTAGTATGATTTCAATTACACATGGTCTAGAGAAGGTGCGTGGTCTTCTCAAAATAAATGAGGCAATGAAATATAAAAACCTTCATCAAATAAGAACAAGGAGGCAATTAAAGGTACAAGATGTTGGTGGCCAGGAACCGGATGGCAGCAGTCGCCTTGGTGAAAAGGCACAAGTTCAGAAAATCTTTTTGGAGGTAGACCAGCAAGACCTGCTGGTGGGTTAGAAGTGGAGGATGAAGGAAAGAGACGCCACAGGGACATGTCTAGATTTTTGGATGGTCCGTCAGATTTCCGCCTACTCTTAAGACTTACGGAATTTGTGAGCCCAGTGTTTTTTGTATCTGGAGGTGCCGTCGATTTGCTGAGTGGCCAGGAATGAATGTGGGTATATCAAAAAATGTCACTTACTTGTTTGATTCCCACTGTGAGCCTGTGGGCAAATGCTGGCATCGCTCACTCCAGTTGCCAAGCAGTAATTAGTAATTCCTTCATGTCTGTCTTGTCAATAACTATCTTCTTTTTGGCCACAGAGAAGTAAAGTGGCTTTACAACTTTTTTTTTCTTTTCTTTTTAATCACCACAGTCTCCAGTTTATGATGCCTTTATCTGACCCTGATTGTATTAATCATTGGCTAAATTTATTGAGGGATGGGTTAGCTTCATTATCGCCCTGTAGGGAGATAAAGGCAAGGCGTTATGATGAAAGTGAACTTACATTAAAAAAAGTCACTGAACTGAAATGGCACTTTGGGCTCCCTGAGTTACTGCAGTGTGATTTGTATTATGAAAAATTCTTCATCTGGAAACATAGAGGGTCCTTGATAGGTGTAGAGCTTGTTGGGGAAAATAAGATATAGACTGTCTTAATCAGTTTTGGCTGCTGTAACAAAAATAGCATAGATAGAGAGGCATAAACAACAAACATTTATTTCTCACATTTCTGAAGACTGGTGCTGAGAGATCTACTGTCTACTGAGGGCCTGCTCCCTGGTTTGCATTGTATCTTCACATGGTAGAGAGCAGAGAGAGAGGAAGCCAGTTCTTTGGGATCTCCTCCCAGGAAGGCATTCACCAATTCATGAGGGTTCTATTCTCATGACCTAATCACCTCCCAATGGCCCCACCTCCATATACCATCATATGGGGGATTTAGTTGCAACATGAATTTTTTGGGAGGTGGGATACAAATGCTCAGTCCATAGCACAGATGTCCTCTGTTTCACATACACCAGAGCTCTCTGGAATCTCAGGCCTTGTTCCCATTCTGGGAGAACCCTGGCAAATATCAGACTCTTCTGGGCATCAAGGAGCCCCTTCCTGCTTCTCAGACAGTGGCCTAAAGGGAGGCCTTGGCATCACAGATTGGCACTTGGCCATCGTTTCTGCACAGAAGATTTGGGCATATGGATTAGGCTTGAGCTGCCCACTGTTTCTGGGAGGCAGTGGTATTGCTAACTGGCTGAGAGCATACACTCAGGTCCTGTTGCCTGGGCAAGGTTTAAGTCTAGGTCCTGTTGGCTGTTGTCTTTGTTATCTCGGGGAATTCACTTGAATCCTTCCAACCTTAATTTTATCATCTGTGAAATTGGGTAATGGTGGAATGTAGGCACAGAATCACTGCATAGATAGACCTAGACACACAGATGCATTTGGTCCATGTTCCCTTGATCAACTGGTTAAGCCAGTGATGGAATTCCTGTGGGAAAAGTGCCTCTCGAGTTCCCAGCAATCAGTTAATATCTGAGCTCTTCAAACAGGGCTTGCTGTGGGTCAGGAACTCTGCGTGCCCAGACCTTGTTTGTCCAGTCTTTTCCCTGATGAGGCTGATAACTTAGTCCCTTTAAGGAGAAAAGTTTGGAAACATTCTAACATGGCCTTGGAAGATAGGGAAAAAAATTTCGAGATGTGACAGTTGTTATCTGTAAGTGACTGTGACTGTGGGAATGTACAGAGAAGCTGTATCAACACAAAACCAGCTGTGTCAGGGCCGATCGCTTCTTTCTCCTTATAACTTGGACCTCTGTTTATGACTCAGTGGGCATTTGGTACCTCTGCCTTCTAGGGGGTCTAGTTTTCTCTAGGCTTGGGGTGATTCAACCTGCCTGGAATGGGCACCGTGATGATTTTGTTGTTCGTCTCAAGACAAAAAGACTCTGCACTAATACTGGTTAATTTAATGGCGCTGTTGAAGAGTTTTGCCTTCAGGAACGGGACTGCCTGTCCTGAGAGTACAGAAATCCCATAGTCCAGAGCCGTTCTAGGCTGCCATGACTGTTTATTTTACTGACTTATCCATCCTCACCTGCCTCCAAATTCGAGTGGGTATAAGGTTAGAAGGGCTGTGTATTCACCTGCAGAAAGGTTGGAGGGATGAGGAAGGTAGCACAGACCCTAACATGTTCTAGTGGACTTTGTGCTTCTTCCAAGATATCTATTATGCTTTGGAGAGCTGAGTGATCTTGCTAGAGGTTGGCCCGTGAAAGACCACAGTCACGGTACATGGGGCCAGACTCTCTGGGTCTCCTTTTCTCAGGCTAAGCAGGTGTTGAGGGAGCATTGGAGCCTGTTGGCACAGGAGTCCAAATCCTAGAGCCCCTTTGGATTTAGTTGTAGTTTAGGGGGAAGGGGTGCTCTTATCTATCCAGTGATGTGGCTGCCACTCCAGACTTACAGGAGACAGAGTCTCAGGAAAGTCCCCTGGTTTCCTAATTGGGCTCATCTGTTTTATTTGCACTCATTCTCTGTTGGCGGTGGTGACACTGGGCCCCATCACAGCATAAGGTCCTGGGGAAACGAACTGTTGGGCACACTGAAGAAAGCCGTCGGCCCCCATCAGAAGATGGATGGTCCTTGCCCAGAGAGATTGATTGATTGGAGTCTTGCCATGCTCATCAGAAACAGAGATGGGTCCTTATAATAGGCTGAGGATCTCTGGGTTCCCACGTTTTGGGCAGAATCAGTGGTCAGTAGGGAGATTGGAAGGCAGTGGGGTTGTTGTATTTGCGTCTCAGTTCAATCACAACAATCTCTTAAGGTTTCCAAAGGATTATATCCTACAGTAGAACTATAAATATGAAGAGCAGAGACTACCCAGTGTATTCTTAGGTTATTTTCAAATAAAAGTGCTGGCAAGAAGAGTAAATATCTGATGATAACTGTTCCTGTTGGTGAGGAACCTCTGACCCTGAGACGGGAATCTCCCTTTTAGTGGGTGCCTGAGGTGTAAACTAGCCCTTTGAGACCCTTGACTGGCCGACCTATAGTTATGGGGCAAGGAAAGAAGTGAGTTCCTATGTCAAGAATGACATCAGAGAAGAGGAAGGCAGAAGTAGGGTTAGATTGTTCTAGAATAAGAATCCAACTTTTTCTGTAGAGAGCCAGATGATAAATATTTTAGATGGGTAAAATTGAGGATATTATATACAGGGGTGGGTAAAAGTAGGGTTACAGTTGTTTGGAAAAATATGTAATGTAAGAATATGAGAATAAATAATAATACAAAAATAAGCTCTGTTTCACATACGCACAACTGTAAACCTACTTACTTTTGCCCGCCCCTATAAGTACTTGTATAAAAAGAAAGAAAACCAATTTCCTCATCATATTTATTGACAAAATTCAAAATGTGATAATAATTGAGTACTTTTTTCTGTAGTACAGGCCTATTAATGGGAACAATGGAAGTCTTTTTCGGGGAGATAACATTTCACTTAATTGAGGTTCAAAGTTAGTGCTCTCTCTCACCAAATCAATTACGGATCTTCATCTGTGAAAACCATTCTTCGTTTGTGGGCTGCACAAAAACAGCGGGCCGTCGTCTGCCAAAGCTTGTTCTAGAATCAATAGCAAGTATACTACTGATGATGATATCAGATAACATGTATAGACTATTGGCCATATGTCAAACGTCAGGCTAAGTGTTCAGCCTTTATTATCTTATTGGATACTTCAAAAACCCAGTGGTAGAAGTTATTATTCTTCTTTTTTCATTTCATAAAAGGAACAAGAAAGTGAGTATTAGAGGGGCGGGCACTTGCCCCAGATTGTCCCTTTATAAGCTGCAGTAGGATCTACACCGGGTCTGTCTGCACTCAGTGTACAAGCTCACAACTACTAGCCTAAGGCACCATCCCACAGAGTCAAGAACTGAAACTGACAGTGACCAAGGAAGGCCCTGCTAAGATGCTGAAACTTTGTAACAACTCAGTATTTTTATTTCTTCCCTGTTTTATTTTTGTTTTCTCCCCCATCTGTCTCTCTGAATGATTGCTACCAGCACCCAGCAAGCAAAAAGTGCTAGAAGTTTCTGTGTAGGAATACCAAGGATGGGGAGAGAGAGGTGGGTGGGAAAGAAATGGGTACCTCCTTCTTTGTAGTATGTCAGAGTAGGGGAAGAACCCCAGAGAATCAAGGAGATGGTGTCAGCTTCAATTAGGAAGGGGTTTACCCAAGGGGTTTATAGATGAGCTATAACCTTTAAACACATAATTCAGGAGGGAGGCCCTTTAGGTCCTTTCATTTAATTTTTTGTTTTAACCCTTCTGCTTGCCTCCTTCTCATCTATTCCTTATATGCAACTTCATTTCTTGCTGAGATTTGTGTCGGTCAAAAGCCCTTCCCAGCCAGTTTCTGGGGGTCCACACTGCCCATGCCAGGCCATAGTAGCCCTCTGGGCCATGATTTGGAAGACCCAGCTGTCCAATCTAACATACTACCTTTATTGGTCCAGGTGTGGCTACCAGTACTGCGGTGGCACCCAGTGCTTAATTGGGTGCCTGCCAGCTGTGGGCACGCCCGCAGACTTGCTGGTCTACATGCCTAGCCAAGTAACCAGCAACAGTGAATGGGCCAGTTGAGCACCTCCCAAACCACAGTATAATTTTTTCCCCAGACCTCTGTGCAGGTGACATGATTCTAACAGATCGCTGAAACTATTAGGAGCCAGCCCCAACTTGACAAGCATATTGTCAAGAATGTTGTCCTCAGAAACCCACAATGGCATCAGAAATAAGCGAAGTAGATGCTATACTTTGAGGGGCTGTGGAAAAACCTCCTCCTCCCTTCATTAATTTTTCCCACTGGCCTATTTCTGCTCAGAATTCTTTGGTCATAGGTTTATTCCTTTGGCAAAGCAGTGCCCATCCTAGATTCTGTTTCAGAGGAAGCCCTTGGAAGAGGTAACACACTAAACCTTAGACTTTAGTATAAATAGGTGTTAGGTATATTCTTTTCATCAAAGTGGGCGTGGCATCTTAGGTACACTGGGTACCAACAGTGGGATGACATTTCTGGGGACAAGAAAGAAGTTAGGAGAGACAAGGGGAACAAAGATAAGACCTAGTATTTATCGAGTGCTTTCAACAACCAGGCATTGTTTTGGGTGCTCTACTGTATTTACTCATTTCATCGTCACCACAACCCCGTGAAGTGGGCTCTAGTTTCTCCCCCATTTCACAGATGAGGAAGTGGAGGCTAAAAGAGATAGAGTAATTTGCCCTTGTCTTTCAGTGTGAAATTGTGCTGGGGGTTCTGTGAGAGCTCACTCTAGGCGAACTCACAGGACTCAGCATGTAAGATGAGTACAGCAAAAGAACACCAAGTAGAATCAGCAAAGGGAGAAGGCACATGGGGTTAGGTCCAGGGAAAACCAGGAGAAGCTTTTTAGAGCGGTTTCCCAGTGGAGTCACGTGGACACGCTTGATTCATTTAGCACCAAGTTGCGGCAACATGTGTGAAGTGTTGTCTGCCAAGAGTCATCAGATACTCAGCACCCTGAGTTCTTATGGGGGGCTGGTCACGTTGGTCCTCTGCCTAGCACATACCCGAATTCCAGACTCTCAGAAGGAAAGCAGGCGTTCAGCATAAACCACGCCGTCTGCAGGCGCAGACACAGGCGCAGGCACAGTGAGCCCCACTCTTATCAGTTCTGGGAATGGAGGGAACCCTCCTGAAATCCAGCTTCCCAGTCACCAGTCAAGGCCAACCTTGTAAGCTGGCCTTTCTAAGGAAAGCATACTCAGGCCTACGATGTTAACTCTTTAATGCATAGATATTGTTTCCACTCACCAGTTGTTTTGAAAAGGAGCAATTTGCATTTTCTTTTTTCTGTAAGGATTTGATCCCCATGATTAATCAGACATAATTGCTTAGGATTAAATGAGAGAATGCTTAAGAGCACTTAGTGTAGCATTGGTCATCGAGTAAGTATTTGATAGATACTGTTGTCTTTATTGGCTGCTTCCTGATCTATGAGACTGTTAGAACTGGCAACAGGCTCAAACGAACTCTTAAACCTTTCTTATCCCCTCTGTCATTCCCAGGTGGCCCCTACGAGGTCCAAGTCAACATCTCCACCACTGGCGTGCTCCCCAATGGTACCCACTATGCAGCCAAGGGCTCCCAGGTGGACTTCAGCTGCTCTAGCAGCTCCAGGCCACCACCCATGGTGGAGTGGTGGTTCCGGGCCCCGGATTCCAGGTCCGAGCCTTTTGGAAACAACCTGACTGTTAGCTGCTTCACGCTGCTGCTGATGTCGCGAAACCTCCAAGGGAACTACACCTGTTTGGCCATGAACATGCTTAGTGGGAGACATCGAAAGGTGACCACCGAGCTCCTGGTCTACTGTGCGTAAGAAGCACGCCCCTCCCCCACTTCCTCGCCTTGCCCCTTTGTGAGCTACATGTTGTGCCCCTTTTGTCTACAAAGGCTTGTTCACTGTATGGGTCCTAACGTGCTCCCACAGCTCCCTCAACTCATGTGCACACCCAGGGCTTCATGTCAGAGGGGGAGTCACCTCTTCTAGAAGGCTGCTCTAGGTAAGGTACAGGACAGTGAGCCACAGATGGAAATTAATACCTAGCTTAGTGCTTTCTTTTTTTAAAAAAAAAAATTGAGGTGAAAGTACGTTAACATTAACCATTATAAAATGTGAAACTCTGGCATTTAGTACATTGATGGTGTTGTGCAGCCATCACCTCTGTGTAGTCCCAAAACATGTTTATCACCCCAAATGAAAGTCTCGTATCCATTAAGCCTTCCCCCAAACCCCCAGCCATCTGCATTCTATCTCTATGCATTTCTGTGCATTTGCCCATTCTGGATATTTCATATATATGGAATCACACAATATGTGCCCTGTTGTGACTGGCTGCTTTCACTTAGCATCATGTTTACAAGGTTCACCCACGTTGCAGCATGAGTCAATATTTCACTTCTTTTTATGGCTCAATAGCATTCCATTGTGTGGGGGCACCACAGTTTGTGAATTCATTCATCTATCCTCATGCATTCTCTTCATGAACCCTGGGCCCTCTAGCACTGTTAGGAACCAGCCGTTCATGAACCTTTATTTTGGGGGTGAAGAAACAACCACCAAATGCACCTATGTACAAGGTGGACAAAATAACTGTAGAGATGCAGAGTGTACTCATACTCCGCATTAATGAAAGGGAGCCCAGAACAATAAGCTAGTGGGCTGGATAATGACACATTACTAATTCATGCGTTACTCAGAGCCTTTATAAATCTCTATGTCTTCTCTATCATACATGACATTTATTATATATAAACTCATACATGCTTGTGGGAAACACAGATGAGTAAAAAAGAAAATCATCACTTGGACTCTAGCCATCATTTTGGCATACTTCCAGTAATTTTTCTTGTAGGTGCCACATACCTACCCACTGAGGTAAGATCCAAATTTATTTTTTTAATGTATATTACATAAAATACATGATAAAACATATACATAATATAATATACATATATGTAAATTTCTGTAGTTATTAGCACATGGATTACATTGGATTTATTGGTTTGTAACTTGTTAAAATTTTGTTTTTGGTAATACATAGACTAGTAAAAGGGAAACACATGCTGGGGGTGGGAGTGAATAAGTTACGTCTGTAACGCTCTCTGGGGACCACAACTGTCCAGTAGAACTTCCTGTGATGATGGAAATCTGTTCTGTATAGCTGAATACAGTAGCCTCTGACCACAGGTGGTTACTGAACACTTGAAATGTGGGTAGTGTGATATAGGAACTAAATCAGGAATTTTATTTTACTTTATTAATGAACACTTAAATAGCCATACACAGTGAGAAATACAAAGATAGATCAGGCCCATGCGTGCAGAGACTGAACCCCCAGCAGAGGAAACCTGACTGTTGCAAGGCGCTTACTTGTGCCGGGAGCTCTGGCGAGGTACAGCACCTGGGGAGGAGGGCTCTCTGGCCTCCTGGTTCTGTAGCCCTTAGAACCAGCCCAGTGGCTGATCTCGGAGCCTGTGGTTAAGCTGTTTTCCTCTGGTGTTTTGCAGCGCCCCCTCCGTCAGACCTTGAGTGCTGGGCAGAGATGTCACCAGGATGGTTGATGCTGCAGCTCACCTGTCGCTGGGACGGGGGATACCCAGACCCTCAGTTCCTGTGGACAGAAGAGCCAGGAGGTGCTATTGTGGGAACGTCAAAGTTGGGAGTGGAGATGCTGAACCGGTCCCAGCTGTCAGATGGCAAGAAGTTCAAGTGCGTTGGGAGCCACATAGTGGGACCGGAGTCAGGAGCTAGCTGTGTGCTACAGATCCGTGAGTCTGGCTTCCCTCGTCCTGGGGTTGGGGTCTACTCACTGTCTTCTGGGAGAACTGTTTGAAAGAGGTTCTGGGAAAGAAAAATAAGAATGATGTCAGAATGAACCAAATTCCTTCTCTTCCTTTCTTTTGCTTTATGTTTCCTTCCTTGCAAACTTTGAAGATCATGAACCAAGCTCCTTGGTCCTAGTCCAAGCTGTTTTCAGGTTTTTTTCCTAAATATTTTATTTATTTATTTTTAGAGAGAGGCGGAAAGGAGGGAGAAAGAGAGAGAGAAAAACATTGATGTGTGAGAGAAATATCGATCGGTTGCCTCTCACATGGCCCCAACTGGGGACCTAGCCTGCAACCCAGGCGTGTGCACTTACTGGGAATCAAACTGCTGGTGACCTTTTGGTTTGAAGGTCGGCACTCAATCCACTGAGCCTCAACAGCCAGGGTTCACTTGACAAATATTAATTAAGCACCTGTTATGCACCAGGCACAGTTTCTACGTGCTGGAGATGGAGCAAACAAGACACACAAGGTTCTTTTATTAGTGATTTTCTGTTATGTAACAAATTACCCCCAAACTTAATGGCTTAAAACAGTAAATCATTTGTTACCTCACAGTTTCCGTGGGCCAGGAATTTAGGGCACAGTGGGGATGGTGTGTCTTGGTTTCATGGTGCCTGGGGTCTTAGCAGCAAGACTTGGCTGGGAGGGCTGCAATATCTGAAGGGTTCACTTCCGAGCTGCTCACTCTCTCACCTGGCAAGCCGCTTCCTCTCCAGGTGGGACTCTTCACAGGGCTACTTCAGTGTCCTCACAACATGGCGCTGGCTTCCCCCTGAGCAAGTGATGCAGGAGGGAGTAAGCCAAGTAGAGGCTCTCCTTTGATGACCAAGCCTCCAAAGTCACATGGCATCACTTCTGCCACATTCTCTTCATTAGAAACGAGTCACTCAGCCTGGCTTCACTTTCAAGGACAGTGGGGAGGATTAGGCACCACTTTAAAAAAAAAAAAAAGTAAGCCACCGTTTTTTGAAAAGAGGAATGTCAAAAAATTTGTGGACATATTTTTAAAACTATTACTATTCCTCTTTCATAGAGCTTAAATTCTTCTGGGTGGGGTGGAGGTGGGAAGAAGACAGAAAATCTGACAAGAAGTAAGATTCAGATAGTGAGAATAATTATGAGGAGAATAAAATGGCATAAGAGAATCTGCTACAGGGAGGGTGGCAGGGAGGTCTCCTGACAGTAATACAGGGTGGGGTAAAAGTAGGCTTACCATTGTGAGCATGGAAAACAGTTTATTCTTTTATTATTTGTTAATTACTGTATTATTTTCCATATGAAAAACTACTTTTGCCCCACCCTTGAACTGAGGCCTCAAGGATGAGAAGGAGTTGACCAGGGGAAGAACTTTGGGCTGAGTATTCATGGCAGAGAAGACAGCAAATGCAAAGGTCCTGAGGTGGGCAGCATACTTGGCATCTGAGGAACTAAAAGAAGATCAGTATAGCCAGAGCATTGTGCTTGAGTTACCGATGAGGCTCAGTGAGTGTGGTGGGTTGAATTTTGTCTCTTAAAAAGATATATTCAGGTCCTGACCCTGGTAGCTGTGGATGTGACCATATTTGGAATAAGGTCCTTTGCAGATGTGATTATAGAAAGGTGAGGTCAGACTGGATTAGGGTGGGCCCTGTTCAAGTGACTGATACCCTTATGAGAAGAGGGAAATTTGGAGACAGACACACAAGGAGAACACCAAGTGATGATGGAGGCAGAGATAAGAGGGATGCATCTACAAGCCAAGGAATGCCGATGATTGTTGGCGACCACGAGAAGCTGAGGAGGAGGCATGGGACAGTTTCTCCCTCGGGGCCTCTAGGAGGAATCAAGCCTGTTGACACCTTGATTTTGGACGTTTGACTTCCTGAACTGTGAGAGCATGAATATCTGTTGCTTTACACCACCCAGTGGGTGGTACTTTGTTACAACAACCCAGGAAACTACTACAATGGGTAAGCAAGGACCAGACTGTTGGGTTATTGGTCATGGTGAGATTTTCCTCAGAGTTTATCAGGACCATCTTCAGACGAGGCAGCTGGCAGTGCTGAGAAGTGAGCCTGGCTATTATCAGGAGGTGCTTGTTTTCCTAGTCAAGTGACATTCAGTGGTAGTCAGTAAACAGGCCCCAGGGGCCTCCTCTGCCTCAGGTACTGTACCTGGCCTTGGGCAGCAGAACAGATCAAGACTTGCTTTCTATTTAGAGCAGGAATTAGCAAACTGTGTTCAATGGGCCAAATTGGCCCAAGTGGATTTCTGCAAATTTTAAAAAATGAGATATAATTTATATAACATGAACTTCATTATTTTAAAATGTATACTTCATTGGGTTTTTAAAAGTATATTCACAATGCTGTCACCACTATCTAATTCCAGAGCATGTCTGTCACCCCAAAAAGAAGCCGTGCGTGCATTGGCAGTCACTCTCTCTAGAAAGACTGTGTGAGAGCTCTCATTTCCCGCTATTTCTCCTGACATTAAGTGCTACCATAATTTTTTTACACTTTCCCTGTTTGCTAGTTAAGACATAGCAGCATTGATTTAATCTGGGTTTCTCTGATCATTAGCAGAGTTGATAATTTTCATATGTTTATTGGCTCCCTGTATATCACCTATGAATTATCTGTTCACATTTTGCCCATTTTTCTATTGAGTTGTTCATCTCATTATTTCATAAGAATACTCTATATTAACTGTGTTAGTTAATATCATAGAACTGTCCGTGCATGTCATAAATATTTTTCTGGTACATTTACTCCTAAAGTACATTTGTGGCTTCTTTGATAAGAAGTTTCTGATTTTGAAGGGGTCACCTCTGTCGTTCGTACTCTTACAGGTTTCTGTGCTCTGAAGGTCCTTTCCTGTTTCCTTATTATTAACATGTTATTTGTAATCCTCACAATAGCCTGCAGATTAGACAGGATGACTCGTAAGTTGCAGATGAAAGCATTGTGTGCACTCACCCAAGATCACCCAGCCTGTTAAGTGCCTGAGCCCTCGCTTAGCCCAGGTTGGTCTGACAGCAGAGCCCTTGTCTTCCCTGGGACCACTGCCTCCTTTGGGTTCTCCCTCCACAGCTAATCCAGCAAATCTTTCTGTGTAGGAGTTAAGATACTCAGCATGCGGTAAGGTACTGTAGAGCAATACAGAATCACTGCCTTTAAAGGACTTTAAGAGAGACGTGTGATAAATGTGAAACAGGGAAACGGCAATATCACAATATCAGTGACATAACACTTACCTAGTGCAAACTGTGTGTGAGGTGCTATGCTAAGTGTTCTCTACACATACCATGTTTAGTCCTCATACTCACTGTAAAAGCCGAAAGCTCACATTATTGCATGTTCTCATTTCCTGGGGCTGCCGTAACAAAGCACCACAAATTTGGTGACTTAAAACAACAGAAATTTACTTTATCACATTTCTGGAGGCCAGAATTCTGAAGTAAAGATGTTAGCAGGGCCATGCTTCCTTTGAAGACTCCAGGGGAGAGTTCTTTTTTGCCTCTTCAAGTTTCTGATGACTCCAGGCATTGCTTGGCTGGTGGCTGCATCGCTCTAATCTGTGCCTCTGTCTTCATGTAGCCCTTTCCTCTGTGTGTGTGTCTCTCTGTCAGACACCCTAAGTCCCAGATGATTTCATATAGAGATTCTTAACTCATTACATTTGCAGAGACCTTACTTCCAATGAAGGTCATAGTCTGGGCTTCCAGGTCGACATGAATTTGGGGGGACCATTATTCTGCCTACCACAGGTGGCAGACATTGGGTCACCTCCAAAGTTGGCTGTGGAGGGAGCGGACATTGGGATGCTACTCAACCTGCTAATGCTCCATTTTATGGACGAGAAACAGAGGCAATGGATTTTCCCTGACTCATGCAATTGGAAAGAAGCACACACATTTAGAGTGGTATATAGTGAAGACTCCTGAAGTGCGTTATGGACAGCCAGTCCCAGAGAGTGAATATATGGTGGACTGATGCTGAGAGGGTAGAAATGGCAGAGGCAGTTGACAGGCTTTGTGTTGTTTTTTTCCCCCTACCCTTTCCATTGTTTTTTATCCTCACCCAAGGATATGTTTATTGATTTTAGAGGGAGAGAGTGGGGGTGGGGAGAGAGAGAAAGAGAGAGAGAAACATCCATCGGTTGCCTCCTGTACATGCTCTAGGTGTGTGCCCCTACCAGAAATTGAACCTGCAGTCTTTGGGTTTATGGAATGGTGCTCCAACCAACTGAGCCATCCAGCCAGGACCACCTTTCCAATTTTATTTGCAGCTCTTATCTAAGTCACCTGTGCCTGTGGCCCCTAAGACTTGGCCAGTAATTTGAATCTAAAAACAGGGTGGGGCAAAAGTAGGTTTATGGTTGTGAATACTTGAAACACAAAGTGTATTCTTATTCTTGTAAACCTACTTTGCCCCACCCTGTATGTGCTCAGGATTAGGAAACGTTTCCGGAGACGGGAGCTGACAGGAAGTTTTCCTAATTCCAGAGAGCCTGGACAGCAGGCACAAGAGCCTGGAACCTTCTCCTTTCTGACATTGTCCAGTTTTCCCCTCTTCCCTCATGGGCACTCAGGCCCAGTGCTTCTCAGTCCTTGCTGTGCAGGCAGGTTACCTGGGGATCTGGTGAATATGTGCATTCTGATGCTCTAGGTTTGAGGTGGGCTCTGCATTTCTAACCAGTTCCCAGGAAGTGCTGATGCTGCTGGTCCACAGGCCACCCTTTGAGTAGCAAGGCCTTTGGGGGGAGAGGGTCTCTGGATCGTTATTTCAGTTGTGAGGACTATTAAGTCATTGAAAGGTAATGTCAGTGTCTACCATAGGTATGCAGAACAGCGTAGCCCCTACAATGATGAAAAGTGATACTTTTGGGGATTCCTGCTCCTCAAATCTCTCTTTCAATGGTCGTTAGACCCTTAAACTGAAGAAACCAACTCCGTTCATGATAAGCTGCAGCATTAGCCTGCCCAGTATATCAAGGCCCACGTATAGAGGTCTATCTCTTGCAGATCTCTGAGGGCCCTGCATCATCCAACCCACCACTCCAACCCCTGAATCCACCCTTGCGCACAACATCTTCTTAAGCAAAGCCCTTTGTTGTATAGATGCCACATCATCTGGGTGGGTGACAGCTATTTGAGGGGTGAATGCTATATTTGTCTAAAGTATTTATGTATATGATCTTTGTTTTGGGGGCTGTGAGGGTGCTGGCCAAATTGTTTTGCTTCTAATAAAGGATGAGGGGCCATTTCTCAAACCTTGGTTTGGGGCCTGCAAAATACAAACATTCTGAGGTCACTGCTGCTGGCTTTGTGACCCCAAAGGAAATTTGGGTTAACCACAGACGGGGGAAGGTGCAATTGAGCACCGTTGGAGAGGAACCTGACAATTGATCCAAGGAGGGGTGTAACACGTGAGTGTCTAGAGCAAACTGAGGTTTGGGGGATTCTTTTTTGTTGACCTGACCTAGAGAGAGGCTTTTAGTCTGTTGCACCCCCTCTCCTTTGCCCCCTTTTCTTGCCCCTCTCCCCAGGATGCCAGCAGTGAAACCCTAGATTTTCTCTTTGAACAACTGCCAAGGTGGAGTGTGTAGTTTCATTCTCCCATGCAGGAACCCAGTACGCCACTCTGTATTCCTCAGCTGCCGAAAATACAGACTTAATAACCCCCCAGGTGAATTTGTTAACCTTTCCAGGAGGGTGTGCATGTTGGAAAAAGGCTTCTTGTGCAAAGAAAACAAATGGATCACTATGGGCAACCTTACGTCTTCTCATGTCCTGCTCAGACCTCAAGGCCACAGGGACACCGTATACATTTCTAGGACAAAAATGTGGGAAGCAGAATAGAAGTCCTCTCTCCCTCCTCAGAAAAGATGTCCATTTCTTAATCCATAGAACCTGAAAGTATGTTACCTTCCATGGCAAAAGGGATTTTGCAGATGTGACTCAAAAAGGGTTTTGAGATGGGGAGGTTATCCTGGATTATCTGGGTGGGCCCAATGTCATTATAAGAATCCTTATAAAAGGGAGGCTGGAGGGTCACACTCAGCAGTGGGTGATGTGACAACAGATGTAAAAGGGATGCAATGTGGGGCCACAAGCCAAGGAATACAGGTGACAGGAAGCCAAGGAAATGGATTCTCCCCTAGAGCCTCCAGAAGGAGCCAGCTCTGCCAATACCTTGATTTCAGCCCAGGAAGATCATTTTGGACTTCGGACTGCCAGAACCATAAAAGGATAAATTTCTGTTGTTTCAAGCGACTAAGTTTGTAGCAATTTGTTACAGCAGCAATAGAAAACTAATGCAGCTGCCTTATTGTCCCCTCGAACACCATTGCCAGGCCCATTTTTAAAATAGCATCACTGTGGTTATTATACATAAACCTATAGCAAGAAGTAAGGATCGTGATCTATAAAAGCTTGACTGTTTGGCTCCGAGCTTACATAGGGTAACCAAATTATCCTGGTTTGCTCAAGACTTTTTCTATTTTCTTTGAAAGCCCCATGTCCCAGGAAGTCCCTCAGTCTTTGGCAAACCAGGACATTGGTCACCCTATATCCCACCTGCATCACTTATTTGTGTGATTTTGAGCAAGTTACTTAACTTTCTCTGTTCCTCAGTTTCCTCATATGTAAAATGGAAATCATGACAGGGTTGTTGTGAGAACTAAGTGGGTTAATATGTATAACAGTGCCTGCCCATAGTAAGTGCTCAGTGTATGTTAGCTTTTATTATTATATAAGACCATATGTGGGACAGGAATTCCTGGAGTTGCTTCATGAGGAAGGGAATAATCTTGAAAATCTCAGGCCACAGCTTGAATCTTCATAAACATTTGTCTTTCTGTACCTTCTGATCACCAGGGAGCCCCTCCCTTCTCTCTGAGCCCATGAGGACTTGCTTCGTGGGGGGCAATGTGACACTCACCTGCCATGTGTCTGGAGCCTACCCCTCTGCCAAGATCCGGTGGCTGAGGAACCTCACCCAGCCTGAGGTGGTCATCCAGCCCAACGGCCACTATCTCATCACCCAGCACGGCCAGAGCTCCACCCTGACCATCCAAAACTGCTCCCAGGACCTGGATGAGGGCTACTATGTCTGCCGGGCTGAGAACCTCGTCGGCGTGAGGGAAGTGGACATCTGGCTGAGCGTCAAAGGTTAGTGACCCAAGTGGCCCCATATGAGGAGGTTTGAGAGCTTCATAGGACCCGGTACCAGCATGGGGACACTTAGTGCTTCCCTGCGTGTGGGAGAAGCCGTATCTGCTTGCCTGTGGCTGGACAAGATGGATGGGAAACATTAATGTCCAGTCCTAAATCTTTAATATTTGCATAGGGATAAATACTACTTAATATCTGTTATATACTAGAGAATATCTATATATGAAAATATATATAAATATAAAATGTATAAAAATTAAAAAAATATATAATGTAAGGTGTGAAGCATAATAGCAAAATGAACACCTAAGAAACTATACACCACTTAAGATATAGAACAGTGCGGCCATTGCTAAAATTACCTGTAGGTATTTGGCCAGATTTAGAAAACAACATCAAAACTAATAAAATGGGATACTCACTTAAATTTGCATTTCAGAAAAACAAAGAATTATTTTTAAGTAGTATAAGTATGTCCCAAATATTGTACAAAGCATACTTACTCTAAAAAATTATTGTCTTATCAAAATCCAGATTTAACTGGGTATCCTGTATTTTATCTTGTCACCCTACCTGTAGGCCCCTTTTTAGTCTCCTAAAAAAGGTAACCACTATCCTGAATTTCATGCTTTAAGGAAAAAAATTGCTGCCCATGTACACGTCTAAATACTATGCTGTTTATTTTTGTTTCTGGGTTTTAAAAAATGGTGGTTACCGTAGAAATGTAATCTTTTGTGACTTGCTGTTTTTACTGCACATTTTGTTTCTTGGATTTACTTGTACTGATGTGTGTAATTATACTTTATACCTCTTCACCACTGTATAACTTTCCTTTGTGTCACTCACTATTACACAACCAAGTTACTTTCTTGTTGATAGATGGGTTCTTATTTTTTTGTTTTTTGTTTTGATGAACAGTGTTGCTATGAAAATATTTTACCCAACTCCTGTGTGTACATATACACAAGGCCCCCCGGCAAATATTTCTCTTAGGACATATACAAGGAGTAGAAATGAAGTATTACAGGTTATGTGCATTTTTATCCTTCTAGGATAACCAAATTATCTTACAAAGTGATTATATCAATTCCCATTTGAATAATATATGAGTGTCATTGTTCCACTTTTTCACCAGCAGACTTTATGATTTGGTGGAAAATGAAACTTCATTGTGGTTCTAATTTGAATTTCTCTTGATTATTCAGAAGGTTGAGCATTATTTCATGTTTATTTGCTGTTTGTATTTCTTCAGTGAAATTCATACATCCTTGTATCTTTTGATATCTTACTCTTTCTTATAAATATGTAAGCATTCTTTAGAAATTCTGTATATTGATTCCATTTTAGGTTTATGTTACAAATATCTCCAGTTCCTTGTCTTTTTCACTTTCTTTGTGGTATCCTTTCATTAGCAAATAGTCTTTTACTTTAATGTACTTGATTTTATGAATTTCTTATATCATTAGCAATTTTTGTCTTAAAAATCCTTTACTGTCCCACATTCACAAAGATATTAAATGTTTTGATGTTTTGCCTTTCACAATTAAATCTTTACTCCTTCTAGAATTGATTTTTGTGAATGGTGTGAGGTCAGAATCAAGTTTTACTCCCTTCCCCTCAATTTGGGTAACCATTCATTCTAGCACCATTTCTCAAATAGTTCCTCTCTTTACTCACTAATCTGTCATATATCAAATTTCCTTTTATGTGTGGGCCTGTTATTGGATCTTCCATTCTGTTCCATTGATCACTGTTTATTGAGGCACCAGTAACTCACACTTAATTACTATGGCCTTATAAGCCCTCTTGACATGTGGTAGACATATAGAGATTTTGTACTGATGTGTGTACCTTTCCAATCTTCTTTTACATCACATGCTTTACTTGATTCCCACCAACTGTCTGAGGTAGGGCGATGAGGTATTTGTCCTGCTTTACAGAGAGGTCATACGCCTTGCCCAACATCGTGAAGCCAAGATAAAAGACTGGGACCGAGGCAGAGAGGGGGAGGTCTGGTTCTTAGAGGAGGGGAGATGTGAGTCTTGCAGTGCGTGTATGTTGGGTGGAACAGTCAACAGTGTGATTTGTCTTTGCAGAACCTTTAAATATCGTGGGAATTGTGGGAACCATCGTGAGCCTCCTTCTGCTGGGAGTGGCCATCATCTCAGGGCTTATGTTGTATTACAGCCCTGTCTACTGCTGGAAAGGTAAGGACTTCTTGGGTCCTTTTGCTTCTCTTTCAGGCTTTTTGAAAGGGTGTGGTTGGGGGAAGGAGGCCCCTGTTATGCTCCCACCTGAAGTCCCATTCTATAGGCTTCTTCACTGGGTCCAGATGTGCAATAATGTAGCCCCTAAGTACCATTTTCCAGAGCACCCTGTCACCTCTCATGTTGGGTCAGTTTTCTCATTGTCCTCTTTTGTAGATACTAGATTGATGAAAAACTTTTGTGAGGGTGAAACTGATGTTATTTGATATTAACTTTTTTTTTCTTTCTCTCTTTAGTAGGAAACACTATCAGGTGAGTGTTCCCTAGACTCAAGTCAAAACACTTGTTTCCATGATCTGTCTTCACTGCTGTTTTGTTCCCTTTTGTAAGAACAATAATAGCAACTACCCCTGAGGACCAGTCAGGTGCCAGCACTGGGGTGGGGCAGGGGAGGGGGGGCGCAGTGAGGGGTTGGGGAGTGTGGGGGGCTTCATTAGGCATTGTCATTGTAAACTCTTAAAATCTCCATTTTCAAGACCGGGAGATTGAGGCCCAGTAAAGTAATTTGTGCAGTTTCATCCAGGAAGTAAATGTCAGTGCTTGGATTCAGATCTAGATCTGACTGATTCCAAAGTCTGTGTTCTTTTTACAAGGCTAGACCTCAGGGTGGGGCACATAGCTGGGCTGTTATTGAGGCTTAGAGCCCAGGTATTCATGCATTTATTTTACCTAATTTTCTAAAAAGAGCTAAAAGGAAGAATAAGTCATAGTCTTACAGCATGTTTGGAAAAACTAAGTTTGAGCTTGCCTTGAAGCACCTCCCAAAAGGAAACCTAGGTAGGGGGCAAAGTAACTGGATGGAACTTAGTTGTTTAATTACCTAAGGAGATTCTGAGAGGGAGCAAAGAACTCTTCTCTTTGTTTTTCTTTAACCATTAATAACCGTGGGAGATCGTTGTTCTCAGATCATCAGTCATAATGAGAGGATATGATTGTTTTGGGACCCTTTATCCATGGGAACAGTGTTACCTTTACTGCCACATATCAGAGGGCCATCCTCCCAGTGAGTTTGTCATTTCCCAGGTTTCTCACAGGAGGTAACAGTGAGACACAGTGGGAAAAGGCTTGGGAATTAGTGGGCCTAGGTTCAAATTGCAGCTCTTCCATTTCCAAGCCCTTTGCTCACGGAAGATCTCTGACCTTCTCTGAGACTTTGTCTCCTCCTCATCTTTCTCAGAGGGAGACTGTGAGGATTAAATGAGAATGTAATGCTCCCAGGACTGTGACTGGCCTGTGGCAGGTGTTCGTCTTTCCTTCAGAAATGTACAGGCTGCTTGGGTAGGCGAAAACCAGCAATCAGCTAAGAGCAATTCAGTGCTAAACAGCTTGGCGTGGACTCCTAATGCAGTGGTAGTTCAGGAGAGGAGGGAAGGAGAGGACTTTGGGCCTTAAATAATGAGGAGGAGGAGAAATTTCAGTTAGTGGAGCAGAGATAAGGAGCAGAGATTTCAGAAAATGAACAGAGCTTTTGTGTACGTGCTGTGAGGGGGACTAAAATGTTAGATACCTGGGACTATGAGGTCACCTTCCCGAGGAGCAGGGGAAGAATAAAACTCACCCAGAACAAGATAAGATTATCTGTAGCAACCTGTGGCTGTGTCTCTTGGAGAGATGACAATCACACTGTTACCTCATGACTTAACCAAGTTGAATGCAGGAAGAATTTTCCTTGTTACCAAAGAGGTTGCAAAGAATCTAGTGTTTCCCATTCAGCAAGGGCTGATGTTGGATAAAACAGGGCATCTTCCTGAATATTTTTCCCCCTTTGGCAATTAGGGGACAAGACATGGGTGATGTCATGGTTTTGGTGGATGAGGAAGAGGTAGATGTGGAAGAGGAAGAAGATGCTGCAGGAGAGGAGGAGGAGGAGGAAGAGGAGGAGGAAGCGGCTGACAGGGAGGAGTTGCCAAAAGAAATACCCAAGCATGGCCACATTCACAGAGTGACTGCACTGGTGAATGGGAACATAGACTGGATGGCCAATGGACTCCAGGCTCTGCAAGGTGAGCTCGTTTTTCCCTTTTTTTTTTTTTTAAGATTTTATTTATTTTTAGAGGGAAAGGGAGGGAGAAAGAGAAGGAGAGAAACATTGATGTGCAAGAGAAACAATGGTAGGTTGCTTCTCTCATGCCCCACAACTGGGGACCTGGCCCACAACCCAACCATATTCCCTAACCAGGAGTTGAACCAGCGACCTCTTGGTGGGCGGGAGGATGCCCCACCTACTGAGCCACACTGCCACGGAGAGCTCTTTTTCCTTAAAAGGCACTCCTGCTAGGTTGTGATGAGCTTTCCAGTAGGAAATTTCTAAGTGCTTTTTTAAAGGCTGGGGAAGATAGTTAATCTGGAACCTGAGAATCTTATCAACTACCAATGCAACAATTAAATTGACAAACATTTACCGAGTACCTGCTCTGGGAAAGGCACAGTATTGGCATTTCTGCGGAATAGAAAAGAGAGCCATAGTATCTGGATGCAGGGAGCTTGTATGAGACCACTTAGAGTGAACAGACTAAAAAATGTGGGGAAAATTCAGATGGAGATGATTTAACCAGCACTTTGAGAGAGCAGTAGAGGAGCTGTCACAAGGAATTTGATTAATTGCCTGATGAATGATATGTTTAAAAATAATAGGACCTCAGGAGAAAGACAAGACCTTTGAGGGGTACGTTGGTCAGAAGCTTAGTGGAATAAGTGGGATATGAGGCAAGTTTTTGAGGGCAGTCAAGTGAATAAGCAAGAAGGAGAGAGAGTGTTCCAGGTGAGAGCAGCATGAGCCAAGAGAAGGAAGGGTGGGCAGTGTCAAGCATGCCAAAAGGATTTTGAATGGAAAGAACAGGTGAAAAACAGATTCTGCCTTACCTGCTCCTCCATGAAATCCAATTCTGAGGCTACCAGTGAAGAACTAGAAGTCAAGATGACTGAAGACTGAGGGAAACAGGGTTACTTTGTTGAGATCACTCAGAATCGGGTCTACTCCCCCCCTACAGATGACAGCAGTGAGCAGCAGAGTGACGTCGTTCAAGAGGAAGCCAGGCCAGTTTGAAGAAAAGAGATGTCCTCCATGGTCCTGTCTTAAGAGCTTGGGAAGCTACAGTGGAGACGAGCTTTTCATTTTGCTTTGACTTGACTTGCACCCCTGCCTGAGGGCTTACAATGGTTAGGGGGTCTCAGCAAAAACACACACACATACACGTATACGTCTTTCCTTCCATTTTTAAAAATATTGGTTTAACTTTTTTAAATGATGTTAAAAAGTTTTGGGAACAGGCAGTGTGTGGGGGAAAGCTGCATTTGGCATCTGCGGTGCCCTTTTCCCTGTGACTCCTGGCTTTATCCAAGTTGACTGATGCTAATTTGGGGGGAGCAAGAGTGGGAGGAGGCACTTGGCCTCAGTGCCCTTTGCCACTATTAAAGGTCTGTAACCAGCTTACCTCAGCACACAAGGGTATAGCATGGGGTGATAGGGACACTTCCTTTATCACTGCCCAGGTAAGTCAGTGCACTGGAAAAGGGGAGGAGGGGTCGGCTACTGATGCTAGTCAGAGGGAAGCAGTGTGGTTCAGGTTTTTGGAGTGGAAACACCCAGCCTTGAATCTGGGCCTTGCTACTTGTTTCAAGGGCTTGAGCAGGTTGCTTTACCTCTCTCCCCTGGACCCCATGTCCTCATCTATAAAATGGGTGAAATCACAGGTACTTACAGGGTTATGGTGAGGACTTTGGGATGTGAAAGTGCCTAGGAGGTGCTCAATAGATGGTCTTTATCTTCGCCTTCTCCAGTGGAAGAAAAAAATGTCATCTGTAAGCTACGAGCTGCTGCCTGGGCCCTTTGTTCTTCTTTGTAGCATGGTTTCAGATGAGGGCATTATCAGAGCTCTCCCGATGATTATTTGCTTCCCTGGAAATACAGTTCTTTTCAAAAGAGGTAGGGGCCCGCAAGAGAAAGTGCCTTTCATTAGAACCTCACATTTTTCAAAGCTTCATATTTATACAAAAGCCTCTTCCATGATACACTTAACTTTCACACTTTCTCATTCTTCCTTTCTTCTGTGACTTTGAAAGAAGGCAGGAGAAATGTTTTGTAAGGGAGCGTCTGGTGAGAAGTACTCCTTGGGCAAACTGGTGCATCTGGCCTCAGTTTCTCAATCTCTGAAATGGGAAAACTTGTTTCCTTCTGCTCTTTAAGGATATTATGAGGATACACTGATTAATAATGCTAAGTTTTGAAAGAAAATAGCATGTGATGAGTTTAAGCTGCTGATGCTTCCAGTAGAATCTGTACAGTTTAGAGGTTATTTTCCCCGATTTGATTCAAACCTCTTCTAAATGTCAGGGGCCTTATGTGAAAAGGGTGTGTGCTAAGCATAAAAATCTGACTTGAATTTGCATTCTTTAATGTTGCACATTCTGCTCTGATGGGCAAGACCTAGGGCTTGAAGGAGAACTTCCCTTCTCCAATAGCAGGGACTGGGACTCCTAAAATGAGACACTGGTTATGTGCAGGGTTACCCTGCAGGTGTGCTTGGGGTTGGTCTGTTTTCTTGAATGAAGGATGAAGGGACTAAACTGAGAAGTTATTGGAAGTGAGTCCTGTCCCCAGCTGAGAACACTGGGGAGCTCAGGAGCAGGCTGCACATTTGCACCCCTCAGGAATAGCTGTGAACTGCAGTCTCATTGTTGGGCTGGGCCTTTTGCTGTGTGGTATCTCGTGTATGTAAACCACTCTAACCAGTCTAAGTTAGTGTCATTTGCAGAACAGGATATTTAGGTTGCTTCTAAAGTTACTGAACACTGAGCTAGTCTCTCCTTTAGAATCTTCAATAAATTCCATTCCTGCCTACTTTGCAGAGGCAACAATATTTTTAAAGAAGAAATGAAACTGTAGCAACAATTCCCTAGCTGGGAACACAGGATGATTTTCAAGATGACTGAGATGTTTCTGCAATTTCCTCTTCTCTTGCACACACATCCTGGTGGGTAGGAAATCTTGAAGACAGAGTTTTTCCACTAGCAAATGGGAGCTTCAAAGTCTTGGTGCCAAACACTACAAACCCTCCACGACTAGTTGAGGTGTCACTACTGTCACTTACATCTGAGCCCTGTGTACGCATTAATATGGCTTAGTCAGTTAAGAACCTGGATACTGAGGGTCTTCAAATTTTAAGGATTCTTTTTTCTTTTTTTAAGAATTAGGGTGTTTTTTCTTTTAAGATGGCCCATTCCCAAATCCAGAAGCATGCTGTTAGTGAATTACAGCCTGTGTGTGGCAAAGTCCAAGCTGTTACATCATGCTTTACATACCTTCTTACCTGGGTGTATTGTGAACTCAGAGACCAGGTCTCCTTATCAGAACCAGAGAGAGAAATATTTCAGGGCTATCACAACAGCTATTTCTTTTTCTCAAAACTTGGACATTGGAGAAAGGGCTCCTGAAATCCTGAGGCTTTGATATTAGCTCCAATTCTCACAAGCACATACGGGCTCTATTACTGTAGCAGGAATACACATGATGGGAAATTTCCATAACCCATGCACTTGAAACCTGGAAAATCATCCTTGCTGGGTAAAAGTTATGATGATGCAATAAGTGCCAACCGGTATTTCTCACCATGGGGCTGGCCAGGACCTGCTGCAAAGAAAAATAAGCAGACCCTCTGCATTATTTACATTTTAATATTTGTTGTGGGGGAGGTGGGTGGGGAGAAATTCGTTCTGACATAATAATGGGGTTTTTTTAAAAAATACGGAATAAAGTTATTTTTTAAATAAAAGCTTCCGTGACCTTGATTGAGGCTTGATTAGTAAACTGAAAGATTTGGGGAAGTGAGTTTACCCCCACCCCCTTTTTTTTTAATTAGCTTTTCTACTACTGGTAACAACAGTGTCCTCATTGCTATTTTATTCTTTTCCATGGCTGGTAGATACCACCCTCACCCCGCCTCTTAACATCTGAGACACCATCACCATTTTTAACCTCCCTGAGAAACTTGCTCTTCCATTTTTTTTCTCCCTACCTAAGCCTTTCTGGTCAGATGGCAGGCTGTGCAAAGGGCCAGAAGACGCCATGGAGAACACAGAACTGACGGACTGACAACTTAAATCGGTCTTCCGGTCGCTGTCCTTGCTGGTGGCTTTGGAGACGGTCACCGGGCCCCCGGCTACCTGTAGTCTCCGCAATCTCTCACCCCCACCTCCCACTTGAGGTTGCCCCCTTCCTTTCCCTTTTCTTGTTCTAGGCCTTTCCTCTTAGGTTACCCCCCCCCCTTTTTTTTTAATTTGTCTCCAAGTTCCCTGGCTCTTGAGCAAGGCTGTCCCATTTTAAACGTACTTCCTTTCCAACCGAACCCAGGTCTCCCACTTCAGCCCGTTTTCCCTGACCTCGTGGGACCCAGAGCTGCCGCTTGAGCGCGGCGTGCGCGCCGCTCCTCTGTCGGAGCCCCCGTCTCACTCTGGCGTTCACTTCCGCTCGCTCCCGGCCAGGAGGGCCCGGCCCTCCCAGGTCACACCCACGTTTCCCAGCCCGCGCGTGTTCAGACCCCCACTCTTTGTCGATGCCCCCCCTTCCGAACGCCTAGCTGCCCCTGGGAACCTTGGCAGGCGCGTTCCCCTCATTGGCCCCTAGGCTTTGCTTTCCCTGGTTCCCATTTTTAAAAAACAGCCCGGCTTCCCATTCTCTGATCTCCAAGCCTCGGTGCTGGGCTCCCCCCGAGCCCGAGGTACCGGCCTCCTCAGGTCTCGCTCCAGCTCGGTTCCCCAGCCTCATCCCTCAGCCCATTCACACGCTCGGCTGCCCCGGACCTCGTCCCCCGCCTCAATGCTCGCTTTTTGTCTCCCCAATTCTTTTTATTGGGCTCCTTCCTACGGGTTCCCCCCTCCGGTCCCCACCCTGCCCCGACTCCCCTGTCTTCCCCTCAGCCCTGGCCCCGGCCGCACCCCCACATTTTTTTTTTGCCCCTGCCCCCTCCCCGTATTATTACCCGGCCCGCGTCCTCTGCGACCCAGCTTCTACTCCCCTCAGCCTGCCCCGCTCCGCCCCCGCCCCGTTTTCACCTGAGCGCCCTCCAGGTTGCCCCTCAACTCCGGGGTCCCCCTCGCGTTTTCCCTTCAGCCCCGCTCCCCCACCCCCACCTCTGGTTTCCCCCTCAGCCCGGCTTCCCTCGAACCCCGGGTTTCCCCTCAGCCCCCTCCCCACCCCCAGCCCTGGTTTTCCCTCAGCCGCGTCCCCTCCCACCCGGTTTTCCCTCAGCGTCGCTTCCCCCCCACCGCAGGGTTTTATCCCGTCCGCGCCCCGCCCCCCGCGCGTCCCCGCCCGCGCCCGCCGCCATGTGACGGGAAGCAGCTGATGGCCTCTCCGGGTGGCCGCGGGCTGGTCGGGGCCGGGACCGGGGCGGCGGCCGGGGCGCGGACCGGCGCGGGGACGGAATGAGGGCCGACGGCCCGGGGGGCTGAGGCGCCCGCCGCCTGCCGCGGGGCCGCGCGCGTCCTCCATGGAGGCCGGAGGTGAGTGGGGCCGGGGCGCGCCGGCTCCCGCCCGGCGCGGCCAGGCCCGGTCTCCCCGGGGTGCGGGGGCGGGCTCGGCCGTGGCGGCTGGACGCGGCGGGGGCGCCCGGCCTCCGCCGTCCGCGCGGGCAGACGGCGGGGTGCGCGCCTGGCGCCTAGCTTTGTTTCACTTTCGCTGTCAGCGGCCGCCTCTGCGTCCCCCGCTGCCGGCCGGACCCGCGGAGAACGGGCCTCGGTGGGGGACGCCGTGGCGAGGACCCCCACCCGCCAGCAGAGTGGGGGGTGGCGCCCGGGGCCCGGGTGGGACACGGCGTGCGCCAAGCCGAAAGGGGCGATACCCGAGGGGATGGGCGCCCAGGTGCCAGGTGCCGCACTCGCAGGTCAGGGTGGGAGCAGCAGTGCCCCTTCCACACTGTGCGGCTGAGGACGAGCCGCTGGGCCACCCCGTCCCCCCAGGTGTCAGCTCTGTGTCTGCAAAATGGGCAATGATAGTACCTGCCTCAGTGCGTGGCTGGGAGCTCCCCAAACTTGCCTAGTAAAAAAAAAATGCGGTCTGGGGTCCTCATTTAAAAAACGCAGACGTGTCTGTGTGTCAGACGGGTGCTCCGAGCCTCCGCCAGCGGGGACCGGCTCGCAGGGGGCGGGCCGGCTCCGCCGATCCCGGCGACAAGTGGGGCAGTGTCAGCGCAGGGCACGCCGGTGGGTGAGGTGCACACTCGCCTCTGCCCTCGCCAGCAGCTGTCACCAGAAGACGTGCGGCGGTCGGGGAACGTCGGGCGCACCTCGGGGCCAGCCCGCCCAGCCTGCAGTCTCCGTGCGAAGGCAGAAACCCGGGGACTCGTGCCTCGTTCTCCCTTCCCAGCCCCTCGCCCCGGATCCCCCTCCGGGAGACGCTGGGCTGTGTGTGGGACCTGCTCTCGGAGTCCCCGCTCCTGCGTGTGCGGCCTTGCCTAGAGGCAGCTTTTCTGGGGACGGTGCTAAGGAGGGTCAAGGCCTGGGGCCCAGAGCGTGTCCCAGACCCTCGTAGTCTTGCAGGGCAGTTCAAGCTCCGTCCCGCTCGGAGGGAGGGCTCCGATCCCTGATTGTTGACGTTCGTTTCCCTGGCCTGTTCGCTGGGGCAGGGACGGTGGGTGGGTAGGTTGAAATCCCAGGGTATTCCCTGGGGTGGTGTAACTTTTTAATTTGGGAAATGACATTTCTTTGTTTGCCGGAGTCAGGCTTTCAGTAGAAGGTGTAGAGGCAACTCTCGCTGCCTTCCCATCGAGATAAGGGCTTTCTTTTCAGCGACTGTGTTACCCGTGGAACTCTTTATAAATGGCCCTTACTGTTTGCCGGGATCTTATGTGAATCTTTTTATAGCTTCCGCTGTCATTTTCATTGACTCCGTATAGTTGAATCTGAAAGCGATCTGTAGCTAGCCCCCCTTTTTAACAGGAGTCTGTTTCCAGTTCTGGGTTTTTCTTCATGATTGACAACCGTGTTTCGGGGTGTGGGCAGAGCTGTTGAGAGCTGCCAAGCTACTGTTTAAAAAAAAAAAAAAAAGCCTGAGAGTTTTACATTCTTTTAAAATTGAATAAAGCCTATTGTAACAGGATTACAATGGACAACAGTAGATACTTTAGAGCAGTGATTAGAATTCATTTATTCATTCAGCAAATATTTATTGAGTGTCTGCTATGTGCCAGGACTCACCCCACTCTCTAGGCCAGTGCTGGCCAATAGAAATATAATGCAAGTCACACATATAATTTAAAAGGTTCTAGTAGCTACATTAAAAAAGTGAAATTAATTTTAAAACTATATCATTGTCAGTCCAACATGTCTCAAATATCATTTCAGCATGTCAGCATGATTCCTGATGTATTTTAGGGTTTTTTGGTACTAAGTTTCAAGATACAATGTGTATTATATACATAATCCTAACTTGGACCTGCCCCATTTTAAATGGTCAGTAGCCACATGGGGCTTGTTTACTGTATTGGACAGCATAGCCCAAGAGCAGTGAACTGATAGGCAAGTTGGGGTGGAGGTGGGGAAGAGATAGACAATAAATACCTAAAAATAACAAGTGCAATGAAGAAAAGATAGATGAGTGATAGTTATTTAAAAAATTGAAGGGACAGAGAGGAAAGTGACTGGGCCACTTTATTATTTTTTTATTCTTAGGGATTTTATTTATTTTTAGAGTGAGAGGAAGGCAGGGAGAAATAGGGTGAGAAACACGGATTGGCTGCGCCCCGCACACGCCCCAACCTGGGACCTAACTCAAAGCCCAGGCATGTGCCCTGACTGGGAATTGAACTGATGACCTTTCACTTGGCAGGATGACGCCCAGCCAGGGGCGCCTCTCTGGTCAGGACATGCCTGGGCCACTTTAGATAGTGAGGACAGGAACCGCCTTGAGAAGGTGACAACAGCAAAGATCTGGGGCCTGCCAGGCAGAGTTTTCCAGGCACATGGAACATCTAATATAATGATCCGGAGACAGGACAAATCACCTTGTTTCCTGCCAGCTGAAGTTATAGCTTCCATCTCTGTGTTAGGGCAAATCTTTCATAGGAGAGACTCGTAATAAATATCTGTCCATTCAGCCTGTGTGTCTGTACACATCCCAGTGTGTAATTAGAAAACCCTGATGTTTTTCATCAAGAAGGGCCATGGCAGGTACAATCCCAGATGAAGCTGGATCCTCTTGGCCCTGTTTTTTTTTGAGTTCTGCACTAATTATGGCTTTCTCTTCCAGCAGCCAAGTTTAGTTGGGGCCCAGACTCCCCTTCAGAATTTCCTTGGTTCTAGAAATGAAGAAGAGACAGGAGTCGCTGGGTTCTTTCTTCTTTTAGCTCCTGGATTCCTGAGCCTGAAATAGCAAGAGATTAAATCCCCAAATCACAGAAATAGAGTGTGAAATCTGGGTATGGCTCATGTTTAAGAAGCATTTCATGTGAAATGTTTCGCATAGACATTATAATAGTTAAGAGGCTTTGTTTTGCTTATATTTGAAGAGGTATACCATGTATGTTTATTCAACAAATATTTACCGACTGCTTGCTCTCTGCCAGGAACTCTGCTAGGAACTGGGGATAAACATAACAAGGTCCCTGCTCTCATGGATTTGATATCCCAGTTGGGGAAGATAGATAATAATCAAATTAGTGATTATGCTGTAAAGGAGACAGTGAGGAGTTGTGAAGGAGACTGGATTGGGGGTCAGAGAGGGGCTATCTAAGGAGCTGGCATTTAAGCTGAGACTTGAATGAAGAGAAAGTACCAGCCATGGAGAGACGTTCCTGGGGAAGAGAATAGTTGGAACAAAGGCCCTGAGATTGGAAATAATCGAGCACAGTGAGGGGTTAGAAAAGGCCAGTGTGCTAGAGCAAGGGGCAGGGGGAGGAGAGATATATAAGTCCAGGTGGGAGATAAGACAGGGCAGGGTGAGGAGTTTGGGTTTTTATTCTAAGAGTCATGGAAACTCATTACTTTGGGGGTGAGGAGAATGGATGGTAGGGGCCAGAGCGGGAGCTAGGACAGTAGTTGGAGGGCTGCTTAGTGAGAGATGATGCTGCATAGATTAGAAAAAATGGTGGCCATGGAGATGAAGATGAGGCAAGTTAGATTTGTCAGGTCTTTTGGAAATACCTGATAGAACTTGCGAGTGGATTTGGATTAGGTGGTTTAAAAAAAGAGAAATCAAGGACGATCCCTTTTCATATTGGGTGGAGCTTCCATGGTGTCCAAAGAATGGATAGCGTGCATGTTATGGAGGAAGTGAACCAAATGTAAATACTGTCAGGATGGAATAAAGAAATTTGCATCTGGGTCAGCTGATGAAAATGTACCTCCAGATCAGTCCGTGTTATTTAATATCACCCATATTTGGATTCTTAGCCTCGCCACTACTGATATTTTGGGCCAGAAAATTCTTCATGTGGGGGGCTGATCTGTGCACTGTAGGATGTTTCCAGCATCCTGGCCTCCACCCATTAGATACCAGTAGCACTACTCCAGTTATGGCCAAAAATACGTCTCCAGACATAGCCACATGTTCCCAGGGGGCAAAATTATCCCTAGTTGAGAACCACTGGGCTACGGATTAGGGCTGTATCACCATAAGAAAATATCTAGAAGTAACAAGAATGAAGAAACTGTTGAAGGATTGCTGTCTAGCATTAAGAGACCTGTTTTGGATTTAAAATATAAAATAAAATATTCTTACCATGCAAATATTCATATCAAGAGAAATATGCTTCGAGAGACAAATACTGGTATAAACAAAAGGATCACATGTGCAAACACATTTCTAGGAGGAATTACTGGGGCCTGCACAAATGCCAATTTAGACCTAATATATATTTTAAAAATTTTTACTTATTGATTTGAGATAGAGAGGGGTATATTGATTTGTTGTTCAACTAATTCGTGCATTCATTGGTTGATTCTTGTGTATGCCCTGACCAGGCATGGAACCCACAGCTTTGGCTTATCGGGATGATGCTCTAACCAACTGAGTAACCTGGCCAGGGCTAGACCTAATATTTTAAAACCTAGATTTACATACAGAAAATAAGGAAATGAATATAAAGAATGAAACTTCCTTAAATAGCAAAACCACCAAAGGCTTGATATGATTTATAAAAATTCAATTTAAAGACAGCATTTTCAGCAACACCCTTATTTTACAAAACAAGATATATCCATGTACTCCTCCATAATGCACATACCAGAAAATATTATATGTACATATATAAATATTGTATACATATATGCACATATATATGCATCTTTGCCATCTGTTTCATTGAATCTAAGATATGCCTCATATATGCCATATGTATCACTGAGAAAAAAGTACTGCCTATTTAACTATGAAAGTCATTGTGTGTGAGACACATCCTGACTTCAGGGAGGTTACAGCATGAGAAGACAGCCCTGGCTGAGTAGCTCAGTTGGTTAGAGTGTTGTCCCTGATACACCAAGGTTGTAGGTTCGATCCTTGGTCAGAGGACATACAAGGAGTAACCAATGAATGTATAAATAAGTAGAACAACAAATTCATGTTTTTTCTCTTCCCCCTTCCTCTCTCCCTCTAAATCAATAAATAAAATTTTTTTAAAAATGTGGCAAGACCCAAAGATGTGTCCTAAAATATATGAAATGTGGGCTGTTTAAATTAGTATCTATCTGGTAATATCTATAAAAGGGTCAAGGTTTCGAAACTATTAAAGTGGAACATACATATCAGGAAGTGACCTCATTCAGGACAGAAGCCAGCTTTTATATTATTATGTGTCATAGTCATAGTGGTCAAAAAATCAATTCTGAAGGCCTTTAACTTACGGTTTCATCAGCCATTGAGAAGCCTCCACTGGAGTAGAGAATTTAACCAGGGAACTGCCCTTTGGTTGATGGAGAAGTCTTAGTCCAGCAGCTCCTCTTCACTAGGTGCTGTACTAGGGCCAACAGACACAAAGATTAAATCCTCTTTGTGTTTTTGAACAAGGGTGCTTGCCTCCTGCTGGGGGGCGGGGGGCGGGGCAGAGGGAAATTGGTTACTACTGGAGAGAATGAAATAAGCAGGGTGGGACTTCTTTCCGCTCTGATTGTGTGAGATCAGGGTACACTTCTCAGTTGCTAATCTAGGTGGGAGTCTCATAAGCAGAAAGTGAGTCCAGGTGTGAATGCGAATGAGCTGTTCTGGGCATGGCTCTTGTGTGGCCAGAGTGTGGTGTTCACGGAGATGCAACGACTCCTGGAGCCAGTGGTGTGGGGTGGAACCCGGGGCTCTGCTGTCTTTATTGTGTAGGCAGGTGGAGCATATTTGAAAGAAATCGGGGGACATATGATACATATTTTAACTTGGGAGGAAGGGTTCCTGGGGGGCAGGAAAAGGAATCAGGAGTCTTGTGAAAGATCTGGGCAAGGTGGGATGAGGGTTTAAATGAGAACTGAGGGGAGATGGAAGTGGGAGGCCATATGAAGAGGCCTAGGAGAGAGGAAGCAAGGCAAGTCCTGAGCATTTTATTTTAGTCTTGATGATGGGGAGTGTGAATTTCAGATAGTCCTTTTTTTTTTAAACCTGTTTCCCAGTAGCAGGTTGTTTTGAGGAGAATTTAAATACATCTGAAGCCTCCTAATCTGTACCATCTAACGCGTCCTTCTCCGACCTGGTCCAGGTCTGGTCCTGGTCTGTCTGGTCCTGGTCTGGTCCTGATCTGGTCCTCTCTCCTTTCTTCCTCTTCAGGCATTCATAGGAAAATGAGGCCTCCGTTTACTGGGTTTACCCTTCCAAAGGTTACTCTGAGTCATGGTTAACCAACAGAGGGGAGTGCCAGAACTGACTAACCACAGTGAAATGTGGCCTGTGGTGACTTTTATTGCCTCAGGTCACTTAAATGACCATTCCCTCCCAGGATCCATAGTGTCACCCTGTGTCATGGGGAGACAGTGGCTTTCCTGCGTCTGAGTCAGGGAGGTGGAGAGGGAAGTGAGGGTGCTTGTTTGAAGCACGATGTCTCATGTCCCAGAGGAACCGCTGCTGCTGGCTGAACTCAAGCCTGGGCGCCCCCACCAGTTTGATTGGAAGTCGAGCTGTGAAACCTGGAGTGTCGCCTTCTCCCCAGACGGCTCCTGGTTTGCTTGGTCTCAAGGACACTGCATTGTCAAGCTGATCCCCTGGCCACTGGAGGAGCAGTTGTAAGTACTCTGGCACCCAAAGGAATGAGGACATCCTCATGATGAGGAACGTGAGCACTTAACCTAGATTGCTTCTACTCTTTTGGGTCTTTCTACCCAAGAACAGGAGAGGGAAGATGGAGGAACAGTTCAGAAATTGATCATTGGGGGTCTCCAGAGCCCCACACACTATGTGTGAAAAATCTATCAAGATTGTTAGCCCTGAGTTTTTAAAAACAGATTTATGAGATATAGTTTACACACCATACAATTTGCCCATTTAAAGTGCATCTGTCACCATGATTAATCTTAGAACATTTTCATTACCCACAAAAGAAACTATGCATCCCTAAGCCAGTGCCCTCCAAACCACATCCCCCCTCCCCCGTTCTCCAGCCCTGAACAGCCACCAGTCTGCTTTTTGCTATTATAGATTTGCTTATTATGAACATTTTATATTAATCAAATCATATAATATGTAGTCTTTTTTGACTGGCTCATTCACTTAACATAGGTTTTCACAGTTTTCATGTTGATGCATGTATCAGTACTTCTTTTTATTGCCAAATAATATTCCATTGTATGGAGATACATTTTATTTATACATTTATCAGTTCGTGGACATTTAGATTTTCACCTTTGGCTATTATGAATAATGCTTCTATGAACACTTACGTACAGTTTTGTGTGTACATATGATTTCATGTTTTCTATGTTTAATTTTTGAGGAAGAATCATATTTTTCCAAAGTGGCTGCACCATTTTACAATCCCACCAGCAATGTGTGAGGTTTTTAAACTCTGCACATCTTCACCAACACCTATTATTGTCAGTCTTTTTGATTGCCATCCTAGTTGGTGTGAATTGGCATCTTATTGTAATGGTTTTGATTTGCGTTGTTTCCTTGATGGCTGCTCATGATGAGGACCTTTTCATGTGCTTATTGGTCCTTTGTATATCTGCTTTGTAGAATTGTCTATTTAGCTCCTTCTCCCATTTTAAAATGGGTATTTATCTTCCTACTATATACCACATTTAGTTTCTGATGTTTTTCTTTCTTTAGGCTGGATGGGATGGGCCCCAGTGTCTGAATGGTGTGGGCCCCCAGTCAGACAGCCCAGCATCTGCCTGTTTTCGTTTGTCCAGGGCAACTCTTGGTTGGCATTTATGTATTCAGCCAATATTTGTCACAAATCTTCTTTGCCTGAAACTGTATTCAGCCAATATTTGTAGCAAATCTTCGCCTGAAACTGAGCTGGGGCACTGAGAATCCTAAATAAATCAAACACAGCCCTGCCTTGAGAGGTTCATTTGTTTTGCTTTAGGCGTTTCTTATAAATTGCATATTAGATTTAACTTTGTAAGTTTAGCCTGAAACTTCTTGCCCTGATCACAGAGAGTGTGATGAGAGTTTGCTGATTTGGGTACGCTGTGCACTGCCAGGGTCAATGGAGTGTAGATCTGTGCACTTTCTGGAAGGAAGGCTCTTTGGCAGTAGGCGTCAAAGACCTTAAAAATGTTCCTCCAGTGATTTGGAATCTCAGAAATGGGGTCATCTATTTACATATACTGATTTTCATCATGAAATTAATTATATAGTAGTTAAAAAATCAGAAATAGCTTCAAATCTAGTGATAAGAGAGTGGTTAAGAACATTGTGGTATTTCCATATATTTTTGCAGGTGTCAAAGATTGTGGGGCTTTGTTTTTTGGGGGGTTTTTAATCATCATTTTCAGTTCCCTCTATGGTCAGTGTAATGATAATGCCAAGGTCATTCATTGTTTATTGATCCACCTACTCTAACTAAAGAAGACTTCACCTCCAGACTTAAGTCTGACACAAAAAAGTTTTTACAAAGCATAAAATGAAAAATCTGTTGTTTTCATTTTGTGTAGTCTACCCATATTAACTATTAATTGCCTCATTTCCAAAATACTTTTCACATTTCTGTTAAAGTAATATTTAAAGTCCTTTAAAAAGTGGGAGAGTCTGGGGCATTTATGTTTTTAGGATTGTTACACATTTTAAAAAATAATGATATGTACTTTTGATATTGAGCAAATAATTGATATTAACTAAATAGTTGTCCTACTTTTAGAAATAATATCTGTAGAAACTTTAGTTTGAGCCAGGTTCTCCCAATGAATCTCCCTTGCTCTTAGTTACCCCTTCCCAAGCCTCCACCTCCAATGTAACTCATCCCTTGATTCATTGACAGGCTCAGAAGTCCAGGGGTTCTGTTGAACAGTAGTCTAGGATGCCCAAGACTTATGTTCTGATTCCAGATCTTTCCCTGATTCTGTGACCCCAAGAAAGTTAACTATCTGCCCCAAAATGGAGATTTTAATATCTCTTCCTAGAGAAGTTAAATTTATGATATTAAAATGATTCAATATGTAAATGTGCCTTAATTTCTGTGGAATAAAGTAGCTACAAAATATCCCTTAATTCAAATACAGAAATTAGGATTTTATTAAAAACAATGTAACTTTGGAGTTCCAAGCTGTCCTACAAAGTTCTCCCCGTAGTCTGCCTTTCACGTGCTTTTCCCTGGGTGGCAAACCCAGGCCCCTGTTGCAGGGTCACCTGTGTGGGGCCATGTGTGGGTTGGGCAGGCCCCATCAAAGACGTTTGTTATCATATCCAGATGTTTTGTCAGAATAACAAAATTTCAGTCTATATTTGGCCTTGTAGACCAGAGGTTAACCCTTTTTTTTTTTTCTTTAAAGGTTGAGATAGTAAATATTTTTGGTTTTGCAGGCCATCTGGTCCCTGCCAATACTGCTCACCTCTATTGTTATAGCATCAAAGCACACATAGGTAGTAGGTGAACAAATGAGCATGGTGGTATTCCATTAAATCTTTATTTATAAAAACAGGCTGCTGGCCTAGGCATTGTTTGCCAACTTCTTATTTCGATTAATAGAGTTTGGGAGCTGAAGGAGGCTACACTTGCTTCAGTTCCTCCTAATTTTATAGGTGAGCATGATTAAAATTTTTAAATATATTTCAACCATACAAGTGACAAAATATAATTTATTTATTTTTGAGGAACACATGTGGTACATAAGGAGGTCTAGCTACATATTCCTGAGTATACGATTTCTCATGGGACAGAGTTCCAGCTTTATAATCTTTTTATCCCCTAGACAAGTATGACTTCATATTTGCACTGTTAAAGTGTAACACAGAAAGGAGACTTTCAGGTTTTCTGGCTGAAGCTAAGGCTGTCTCACTGCGCATGCCTTTGAGATACTGTCTGCATGGCGGAGTGGTGGAAGGGTTTGTATCTTAGGGACAGCGTCTCATTTAGCCTATCTGAGACTGTGTTTCACTGTAAGTAGAATGTAAAGGAGAGGGTCAAATTATTCAGTGCACCCCTGAATAGTTCTGTGGGTTCTTTCTCTCTGTTGACTCTCCTGCTGATATGTTCCTATGGTGGATTTACCATCAGGGAGGTAAATGAATGAGCCTTATTAATGGATTGGAATAGTGAGTGAAGGGGGAAATCAGTGTGTACCAAGCAAAGTGTGTTGGCAAGGAAAGAGTTTATTTTCTTTCTTTTTGGGAGTTTTCTGAGCTAGAGATGGAGTTCTTATCAGGCAGGAGAGCTGGATATTTAGGCTTTCCCTTCTGTCCTAGTTCCAAACCTGCAGTGTGGTTCTTTCTCATGGAAAAAACTGAGTGCATCTTTCCTTCCACACACCAAAACCCGAGAGAACTTTCTGAGGAAGCATAAGGCTCCCTGTAGCGTCTGTGATCCAGTTATCCCTACAGGCGGGTCGTCCCACTGCAGGACTTCCACAAATGCAATGAGCCAAGGCCAGGAGGCCTCTGCCACACAGACTCTAAACAGGAAAGTCATACCAGAATTCACCACAGGCCAGTTTGTTTCTAGGACTTTAAAGTCTTAAGATAACCAGGATGAAAAGTTGGTTGACTTGGTGACAATTTCATACTCATTAAGAACTCTCTACTTCCCCCAGCATCCCTAAAGGGTTTGAAGCCAAAAGCCGAAGCAGCAAAAATGACACAAAAGGGCGAGGCAGCCCAAAGGAGAAGACTCTGGACTGTGGGCAGATTGTCTGGGGTTTGGCCTTCAGCCCATGGCCTTCTCCACCCAGCAGGAAGCCCTGGGCACGCCATCCTCCCCAAGTACCAGACGTGTCTTGCCTGATCCTTGCTACAGGACTCAACGATGGGCAGATCAAGATTTGGGAGGTGCAGACAGGTAGGTAATTCCTGCTTGGCACAGGGTCCTGGAGGCTTGTGCGCATGTTCTCATCAAGTGCTGAGGGGTGTAGCTGTGACTGGCAGACCAGCTGCCATCTCTCCTACTGACCTGAGGGCTCCTGTTTTCATTCCAGGGCTCCTGCTTTTGAATCTTTCCGGCCACCAGGATGTTGTGAGAGATCTGAGCTTCACACCTAGTGGCAGTTTGATTTTGGTCTCTGCGTCTCGGGATAAGACTCTTCGCATTTGGGACCTGAATAAGCATGGTATGGAGGATATGGAACTTCTTGAGAAACTTGCCCTTTTCTCTGCTTTACCGGTGTCATTTTTACCAAGAGTAGTGTTTCTCAATCTTTTTTTCTATTATTGCTTCTTTAGGAGCTTTTTAGACATTTTTTTCCTAATCATTCCCTCTCATCCCTTGAAGATTTTAATAACTGTATTTCTATTCATGTAATGAATGCGTATTTATACTTTGTAAAATATGTAAAAAAAAAAAAAAGTAAGGCTACTTTTTACTCATAGAACCGGTTTTTACCACTATTGATATTTCCTCTGTTGAAAATACATGATGTAGAATACTCACCATGGCACTACTGACATTTTGGGCTGGATAATTCTTTGTTATGGACTGTTCTGTGCAGTATAGGATGCTGAGCATCATCCCTGGCCTCTACCCTCTAGATGCCAGTAGCACCCTCTACATTGTGACAACCAGAAATGTCTCCAGACTTTGCCAGTGTCCACGTGGAGGGCAAAATCTCTCCAGGTTGAGAACCCCTGACTTAGAATAAGTCATCCATGTTGGGTACTTCCTGTTAGAAACAAAGTTTCTTGGTGAAGTAGAATCTAATTCTAGAAGAATTCTCTGAGGCTAGAGGGAGTTCAGCTTTTATGCAGTTCTGCCTTGAGCAGAATTATGTACAAGAGTGGCCCAGGAAAGAAGTCTGCACATCTCTGGTGTTGATCCTTAACTGGAAAGGTGACATAAGGAAGGGGAAGTTTGTTGACAGGCCATTTGTCCCTGACATGGGCGGGGACACAGGGTCTGGAGGGAAGTAGAAGGAGGAAATGGTGGTGTGGGCAGTTCATGAAGAGGCACACTCATCCTGGATAGTGCAGAGGCATCGCTACTCTTGCCTGAGTACTCTTGCACTATTTCTAAGAGGGACCTGTCTCTTTCCTCTTAGAAGCAAGCCTGATAATTTGTCAAAACAACTAAGGAGAATGGTGCTTGTAGTTTCCTTATCTCAAGGCATCTAATCACTAAGAGAACTCTGTATGTACAGTTTCTGCCCATTACTGTGGAACTTGTAGTCATTCAGTCCAAGATCGGCCTACTGACTGGGAAGGCTATTCAAGGGCAGTGCCACATTTAATGTGGTCCAGAAGCAGCTTGCCACCATCTAAGGAAGGTCTTTGAAGTAGCCTTCAAAATCAGTTGGTGGTTGGGAAGCTGAGGGTGACTGAGAGTGGGCAGATGGACTACACCACTTATTAGCACTTTTCAAAGAGAGGAGGGAAATAAAGTAGTGTTTCCAGGTCCTGGGCCATATTATTTGATAGCTGAAGAATCCATGACTAACTTAAAAAAAGTAATACACACATGCCCATAAATTTATAGATGCATATAAATGACCATATACAGTCTTAAACATTTTTTCCTTTTATTTTGGTTTGATTCCTCTTCCTGCTCCCTACCCCCAGCCTTTGCCATCTTTCTCATTCTCCCTTCCATCGAATTCCTCCATAATCTCCCTGTAATCTTACAACCCATGCTAAGAATCTTGCACATTTATCTCCATATTTTGCTTATACTTATATAATCCTATTTGGACACTCACACTATTACATTTATGGATTTGGGGGTCATTGTACCACAAGAATGGAATCATAGTCTTCATATTTTTTCTGAATCTTTTTTTTTTTGTTAAAAATTTTCCCATGGAAAATCTATATTCTTAATTTCATCTGAATTAACAGGGTGGATATACCTGTTGCACCTGTTACTCAGTTATTTCCCCATGGATGGGCATTTTGTTTTTGCCAAAAAATGAGACCTGGAGGGATTATGTGAGTGACCCAGGGTTATGTCTTAAGTGAAGAGTAGAGCCATGGTTCACACCCAAGTTTGCCTGACTCCAGAGCACATGACCCTAATAACTGTGCTTATTGCTCATCCAGACACCCTGATGAGGGGAGGAGGTGAGGGTGTGGCGTGAGATCCGTGTGACCAGGGGAAACCACTACAGAGAGAACTGAAGAGAAGCACACTCTCAAATACGGACAGATGTTTCAAAGTTATTGAGATGGTTGGGGGAACCTGAAAAAAAAAATGTTCTGTGCTCTCGAAGGGATTTATCAACCCTGATCTATGTACTCCCGTTATCCTGATGATCTTGTGAAGTTTGGTGAAACAGGAGGTAGTGATTTCCCTTTGGGGTTAGAATGTTGTATTAATAGATTTCAGGTGTTAAAATGACAAGTTATGTCATATTTCTTTCTCTGCCTTGAAAAGTGGAGGTTGGGACTCAGTTGATCGAGAGCTGGGTGGATATACCAGGTGGGTGGGCCATCACTACTAGTTCTTCAGTCTTCCTGCTTTGTGATTTTTGACACAGCTCACTGTCTGCTCCTTTTCTCTGCCAGGTAAACAGATTCAGGTGTTATCAGGCCACCTGCAGTGGGTTTACTGCTGTTCCATCTCCCCGGACTGCAGCATGCTTTGCTCTGCAGCTGGAGAAAAATCGGTAAGTCTCACATGTCGGGTACCATTTCCTGTATTGCTTTAGTTCAGTAAGACCTGGAGGTCTGGAGCAGCCTTGCGTATGAGAGGGTAAATAAGCAAAGTATCCTTAAAACCTACCTGCAAATCAGCCCTAATAGAAGGCATGCTGGTGGGCCGTGACTTCCTTCTGCATACCTACCTTTTGCTTTGAACTTTGACATGAACCTAAAAAGAAGGTGTTTAAGAAGATCGCGGCCACCATCAGAGGCCTGTTTGTCTTTACAAATGGTAAAGGGGAGCTTTTAAAATTTCTCTTCCCCTTTTAAAAGTTGCAACCCACATAGGGATCCAGATTTCCTCTGAACCATATAATCTGTGTCTACCTAATTAGGATTTCCATTTCAGATCATAAAATTAACAGCTACTTGTTGAACTTTGTCCTAAAATCCTGTTATTTTAAAAAGTATTAGAAACTGAGAACAATTTGGGAACTGTTTGTTTGAATTTTGTATATGCATGGAGCTATTTGCTGTGACTGACTTGGGAAAGAATCCATTATTTGGTACAGCCAAGGTGGTTAATCATTCATTTGAAGTTTGGAACCATGTGAAAGTGAGAGTTTTCTTAGAGGAAAGAAAGTAAAATCCTATTTTTTAACAATTCTTAAAAAGGTATAAAGTGATGAGCTATGTCATATGTACGATGGTGGGGCAGATTTCCATGTTCCTGTAGCACAGAGGGTATAAAACAGCATGGCAGGGTGCCGCCACTTTGTTGATAACCCTGACCCCTGACTTCTGGTTTTAAATGAACGGACAGGATTGCCCTGTGTGTAGGTCTTCATCCGCACATACTGCATGGTTGCAAGCAGGGCTCAGAAGCAGAACTCGGAAGTCTCCATTGATACATGTTAGCTGGCAGCCTTCCTGTGGTTGGTCCTACTTATTCTTCCTTAAAGTAAACTCCTTGAGTATGTCCATTGGTTAGGTGCCTCAAGAATTCAGAACTGTTACTTCCTTTAAGCTTATGTGATAAGTTTTGAAAGAGCTGTAGAGAAAAGGGGTGGAGAACTTGGCTTCATCTGGCCATGGGGCCTGAAGTGGGCATTGCCTTTCACTCATTGTTCACCTTCTAAGCACTTTGTTTCTACCCCTAACCAGGCACCTGTTACTTTCCACAGGTGTTTCTATGGAGCATGCGGTCCTACACATTAATCCGGAAGCTAGAGGGCCATGAAAGCAGTGTTGTCTCTTGTGACTTCTCTCCTGACTCTGCCTTGCTTGTCACAGCTTCTTACGATACTAACGTGATCATGTGGGATCCTTACACTGGCGAGAGGCTGAGGTCACTCCAGTAAGGACCGAATCCCTGCTTATGACTTCCTTGTTGGGCGACCTGTGAGAAACCTGTGTTGGATTAGATATGTCCTTTTCAGAGTCTGGAGCATGGGAGGGGGCAACTTGGGGGCACACAGTAGATTCATTGCTTATTCTAAGTCTGGTGTACAGTAGTGTTTCCTTGTCGATTAAGTTCTTAAGTTAGACCTGAGAGCCTTCAACTCTCCTGACATATGAGACCGTACTTTTTTGGATTCAGCATTAAGAAACCTCAAAGTGACTCTTTTTTTCCATTTACTAATAACTGTAGTAACAAGTTCAGAATGATCCTCTTATCGAAACTGCTATTTCCCAAAATGAATTTTCATGTTCTTACAAATTTGGTTAATTTTTTTCCTTTTTATCTCTGTTGTTTTATGAAGCAAATAATAGGTAGTCCTATAATTATCATGTATCTTAGCCTAAAAAAGACTTTCAGTTTGTACTGTGGCATTTAAGTGGGGGCTGACCTACTTTGCATAGGGAAACTAGTGCAAGGAGTGTCAGAAGCCTTTGGCCCACTCCACACGGCACTTGGAGCCTTGGGAAATGAACTTTTTTCCAGTCGTCTTCTCTAATCTGCAAACCCCAAGGTTTTCCATATGGGGTACAACATGTGTCCTGAGCCTTTTCATAGCCAGGTAGTTTGGCCTTCTCCCTGAGGATGAAGATGAAGGGCGAAGGGGGGCCATCCTGCCAGGCGTATTGTCCTGTTTCTTCTCAGCCACAGCCAGCTCGAACCCCCCATGGATGACAGTGATGTCCACATTAGCTCCCTGAGATCTGTGTGCTTCTCTCCTGAAGGCTTGTACCTTGCCACCGTGGCAGATGACAGGTAACAAGATTCTCTTTATGTGTTGTCAGAGCAAGTGCTTGCAAGTAATCGTAGCATTTCCCTACGGGTCTGGTCCCAGGTTTGCTAATGTGCAAACATACTTTTCTCTCTCATCCAGACTCCTCAGGATCTGGGCCCTAGAACTGAAAACTCCAATTGCATTTGCTCCTATGACCAATGGTCTTTGCTGCACATTTTTCCCACATGGTGGAGTTATTGCCACAGGGTACGTATCTGTTAGCTGAACAGATGGGCAGCAATTTCTGCTGAGTATACCATGCAGCTTTTTAAGGAAAGGAAGCATTTAGAATGTTCTTGCCTGTGAGGAAAGCTTTAAGGAAATCCAAGATTACATAAAATTTTGATACTCTATTTTGACAATATAGGTTATCATTTGTTCTTAACATTTAATCTAAATGTAATTAAAGAGTTCCAATTCATGACAGCTAATGGACCGAGCATGCAAGGAAGCATAAATTAAGATGATGCAGAATTTATATGGAAACCATTTATGGCAGAGACCACCTTTCAGGGACCATCTATAATTCAGTAGGTGGTATTCTTCCCTCTGCTACTTTTGAACTCATAGTATGATTTAGAAAGGGCTGTGCTGACAGAGATAGCACTTCGGTATCAAAGGTGTCTGGAGTTCTCGTAATCCTCTTAGCAGCCTTAATTATTCAGTACCGCAGCTTTTACATCCATTTCAACAGTCAGGGTTACATTTCCCTCTCCAGAGTTTCCTGCTAGTGCAAGTCAGAGAAGAGATGTACATATCCATCAAAATGAAAACATATTTCCAAGGTCTGCCTTGATGCATTGGTTTCTGTTTTATTTCAGGACAAGGGATGGTCACGTCCAGTTCTGGACAGCTCCTAGGGTCCTATCATCACTGAAGCACTTATGCCGGAAAGCCCTTCGAAGTTTTCTCACGACCTACCAAGTGCTAGCACTGCCAATACCCAAGAAAATGAAAGAGTTCCTCACATACAGGACTTTTTAAGCAATGCTACATAATCTTGTTTTTTCTGTAGCAGGATAAATCTCCCTGGCAAAGGAGTAGCTGGAATAATGGGCCAAACATCTAGTCTTGGATTGAAATAGAATATTTCTCTTTGGGACTGTGGATAGAATGTAGCAAAACCAGATTCCAGTGGACTAGTCATGGGTCTTTTTCCCCAGGACATGTGAAAGTCAGTCATAGAGGAGGGATTCCACTTCGTGGCCACAGAGCCTTATCTTAAATCTTCAGTCCACTTATAAACAATTTTGAATTCATTCTAGTAGCTTTGATTCAAAATAGTTACTGATGTTTTGGTAAGAGGAGTTGACTAGGCCTCAAGACCCTCTCTAGTGGCAAAGGGGTTTAAAGTCCCTCTGCTGGGATGTGTGGCTTCTGCCTGGTTCTTGTGCTTCAGATGCAGCAGTGGCATTGTTTAAAGTTCTCTCCTGTTGTGTCAGAGTTGCTTTGGTGTTGACAAGTCTTTCCTTCCTCTAGCTCCCCTCTGACCAGCGGGACAGTTTTCATGGAGCAGCCTCTGGTATGAGGTATTAACTTAGCTTAACTAAATTACAGATGACTCAGAGGCTGTGCTCCTGACTGATACAGACACTATAATTGGCTTTTTTTGTTTTTTTTTTTTAAACAGTGGTGTGCATGTGCAGATAACAAATTTATATGCCAGGATACTCAAGTATTCCTAAATTGCATGACTGTTCAGATGGCTGAGTTGTCAGTTGTTTGCCTTTCATTAGCATATTTATTTGTATTTTCTCAACAGATGTTAAGGTACAACTGTGTTTTTCTTGATGGTATCTAAAAACCATAGTACTGAAGTCGAACAGTTGTGAAGAATGTTTCCTTGATTGTGTAAAGAATTGGTGGTATCATCACTTCACCTGATAACTCTCATGTATGAGGTCTGACTTTGCTGCTTCACCTCATTGGACTAATGAGCCAGTTTCAGTTCTAGCCCTAAACAAATACAGCTCCTTAAAAGTACTGTTCTCCTTCAGTGACATATAGTTATCTAATGAAGACACCTCATTCAAACAAAATCTGCCTTTGGAAAATTTTAATATATTTTAAATTATTTTAAAAGAAATGCAACATCTTATCCTTTGGCTTTCTTAATAGGTGCTTTTTGGAGGCCAGTGTAACAAAATGTGTTGAAAAGTAGGAGTCTCTACTGCCTTTGTTGCTGAAGAAAAACATTTCTTTTCAAGATGAGAAACTTTCATTGAAGGAAAAAGTTAAAAGCTTTTGGCTCTCCGTTTCATTTTTTCCATTAAGAAAAAAAAATCACCTTTAAAACAAATGAGTACAACAGGACAGCTGGGAATGGATTGGGCAAGTTTTTAATCTTGTGGTTATCTTGAAAAATCAGTGTAGTCTAGGGGGCTCTGGGAGGCTTCCTTGAGGCCCCACTTAGCCATTAGCTTCAAACTTTGCTGGTGTCCTTGGGGAGCAAGTCCTATGTGAACGATGGAAATAACTGACTTCTCCCTTTTGAGTGTCAGAATTTGACACCTTTACAAAGAATAGCCTCCAAAGTTTATTCTGTGATACCAGAGATGGAGGTTTTCATATAGATGCAAGTTGAGTAAGTCAAGTGTGTATAACTAAGGGAGGAAGATCACTTGCAACACAACCAAGAAAGCTGCTTTATTTCCTCTATGAAGAATGACGTAAATGCAGCAGGACTGCTGTAAAATGCTACTTGTACACAGGTCAAATTCCTCCCACAGGTGCAGATTTAGAGTCAGCCTCCCTCTCCTGTGCCATCCCTACATTAAACACATGAGTGCTGTACAACCTCTGGCCCGTAATGACACAAATTGAAAGTTTACTGTCCATCGACAATTAGGAACCTGCTAGCAACTCCTCTACTTCAAGAGGAGAAATAAAGACCAATTTTTAAAGTATAAGAATTGAGTCCACTTTATAATAGTTTTGGCCAGAAATCTTTTAACTTCTACCCTATAAAGAGATACACAGACAACATCACAGATTATACTTGATTTTAGAGAGGTTCTGTTTATCTTGAGTTGAAAGACATGGACCGTATAAATTTGAAAGCTTTAGTGCCCAAAATGAAATGAGGTAGGCCAACTTCCTGTCATCCAAATAACTAAAAGGTAAAAGCCTGAAGGTTGGAATAAAGGTGTTTGCCTCCTTATAAAACACAAGTGAGCAGTGCATAAGACAGCTGTACTTTAAAATTGTTTTGTACATCTCTGCTCCAGACAGCCACAAACAAGTTTCTTTTTATACATCTGCTCGCCCATGCCTGGAACATGAATTTTCCAGGACTTGAGGTGATTGTGGCTTCATCCCCTGACCGCAGGTAGCAGTTCACCCCATAACCAAGTCCCCTGTTCTCTAGTCGCTGCTGGGCCTCAGAATTGCAGCAAATGGTCCTCTGTCAGCATCTAGGCCTCTGTGACAATCAAGTCTCTGGTGACTTGAAAAGCTGCAATGAGGGAACTCAGCTGAATCTTCTCATTGGTGCCAACAGAAATTCTGTACCTAAAAGAAATCAAAAGGTAAGAATAGAGAACATGAGAAAGCAGCCCTTTGACAAGAGAACAAAGATCAAAGACTGAAAATCTGAAGGATAGGAGGTAATACAAATTTACCCTGAACATCAATCTTGTATGTGTCCCCTAACATTTTCTTCTCTGCTCTAAACACTCATACAAATTTTGATTCAAATTGGTGAGGAAAATTTAAGTCTCAAAAATTGCTAGAAGATTGTTCTAGCTCTATATAGATAAGCCACCTAATCTGTGCATCTGAAAGCCAATGGGCAAATTAAAATTGGCCTATTTTGACAGTCTTATTTTGAACCCAGTGGTTTTGCCTACTTAAATGACAGCCACCAGCTTCACTGGGGGCCAATAGCTGTTTACTGAATCAGGCAAAGTGGAAAGTTGAGTTTACTTTTTCCTCCAGTATACTTTAGTATGCCAACTGTCCCCAAAAGACCTGGAGGTCTGAACTGAAGGAGGCCTCCCAAATAACCAAAGCACCTCCAGAACCAATGTAGACCAAGCCATTGAGGTATTTATCTCAAATATGGAATTGAGTTATACCTGCCCTTGTGTTTATTCATGTTCTTTAAGCATCTCACACCTCTCCCCATGTTTCATTCATTAATCCCACCAAAAACTAGATTGTACTATATAGGAATGATTTAGACAAAAAAATTAGAAACCAAGGAAGTAGAAACAAACCACAACAGGGGAAAAATGAGGAAAAGAATTAAAATTGAGAAGTAAATACTCACTCAATTTCTGCCATTTTGGTCAATAAATGTATTCGAACTGAAGATGGAAAGTCGACTGGGGGAAAAACAAAATCAAACCAGTGAGGTCTATCACTCCCTACTATTTAAAAAATTTTTTTAAAATGTATGTGTAAAAATCTCCCAGAGGACAAATCTCCCAGAGTTTCAAGGTCAGATGGATTAACACTTTTCTTACAGCCTCAAATCACTAGATACTGCACTTCTAAGGAAGTAAAAGTTGGATGTTTTCAGTTTTTATCCACTAAATTTTGTGAGTTTTCACTGTAGCCAAAAAGAAAAAGAAAAAAGCATATTCCAAAGTGATCATAAAAACATGAAAGTCTTCAACAATGCTCTTTTAGCAACTGGGTATACCTCTGTAAGTTCATGTAAAAACTGTCCCAATTTTAAAAACAAACTATTGATTTCTAAAAGTCAATTTGTGCTCAGCTTTCTATGTGCAGAGCTGGGCTTGAGCCAAGCGTGTTCTTGGGCAGAAGTTCACATGCCAGCCAGAGGCCTATAAAGGCGCCGGGATAAACAACACTCACAGACCCAACTGTCTGTGCAGTTGGCTATTGTGGAAGAAAGAGCTTCTGCAAAAGGCTGTACACCAGATCACCTGGAAAACTTGAAAAGTACGGATGCCTGGTTCTCCCCCAAAAAGCCAAATGAAGTGGTCTGGGGATGAGTCCTACGTGCTGCCAGGACTTGAGAACCAAGTCTCTCTAGAAGACACGGCCTAGTGTGGAACTTAAGATGGTTTAGTTAAGACTGCTTTGGTTTATTACATGAAGATAGATCCTTCTCCCCCTCTTTTTGGGGAAAATTCTTTTAGAAATGTGAATGAAAACATACTACTTATTGCTATAAAATACCAGGCAAAGTAAAATACAGCAGTAGGTTAGCTTTCAGGAATTTCTATTCTTTCCCCTGTAGTTCTAAGGGGTTCAAAGAGTATTTTTGGAACGAAGTTTTAAATAACAAGACAAAACTAAAAATGTGTTAGGTTTATACTTCATTCCTGTCTCTTTGCTTCAAAAATGAAACCTCAAGTTCCCTCTCTAACCACCCTTAACCACAAAGCATGCCAACTTCTCCGCAGCTTCTAAACAAGGGAATGAATATAAGTTACCTCTGTGCACAAACAAGTGTATTTCTGTCAGGATATCATGTAATGCCAACCCCTTCAGAGTTTTCAACTCCATAATATCTAGAGAGGAGCAGTTAAGGCAAAGGGAACAAGTTCCAGAATGAACACAGTGCAGAGAATTTTGGATCCGAACCCTGCTGAGTGACTTTAGAAAGTACGGTCTCTAACCTCAGCAGTTGTTTTCTTTCAGTCTGAAACTGCACACATTGAACCCCAATTCTTTTGTTTTCATCTTCAATAAGAGCTTTCTAAAAGATAGAGTTGTATCTGTCTAGTAGGGAACAGGCCAAAATGCATTTACCAGAAGGCTATATATCACTATACCTCACTTGTAATTTCACAGCAAAACAAGTGTTACAGGGACTACTGGAAAAAAATTACATCTCTCATCCCAAGGTCTAACTGCATCTCTCCCATCTGTGAGTGAAGTGACCTCAAGTTGTCCCTAGGTGAGAGCTCTTCAGGAAGAACTCTGGGGCATTAAAGATAATATCCACTCTACCCACAGCCACCTTACTCCTACGGCAAGCTAACCAAAGTCACACACAGCTGTATGCCAATAGGATGTAGGTGCTGGCCGTAGCTCCTGGGGTTGAGTTCAGACCTTAAGCACTTAAAGTGCTGGGGGCAGGACACGAGAAAGGATACTTCTGTAGGCTGTGGTGAAGTCTTGATTCAACATCCAGTCGAGAATGTTGGCGATGTCTGACTTGAGCGGGTGCCCTGTGCAGGTATAGACCGTCTCCTCTGTCACTTTCCCAAAGGCCATATTGGTGCTCTGTGCAGACAGGGAGAGAATCACAGTGGCAGTTACAGCAGCCACCAAGTTGCAAGCAGGTCAGGAGGAAACTGCTGAGGCAGCAGTGCAGGCGGGTAGCAGCATCACAAGGGCACAGAAGAGCTTGAACCTGTCTGCCTAGCCGGCGAGAGCTGGCCTCATCAGAGGATGCTGCTGTCTGTTGGCTGTGTTACAGCTGCAGAATCCTCCCCTACCTTTCCCTTGTTTGCAACAAATTGCTCTTTCAATTAATCAAAATGCAAAGGGGTGGGGTGATCTTTGACACATGGTGAGATCAAGGTCTTACCAGTTCTAGATTACTGAATTTACAGATTGGTTGTACTGTTGTTTATGTATTTCTTGAAAAACTATTCTGAAGCAACGACTTGAGATTTGCTACGAGTAGCATCGTACCTGCAAAATGTTCAGAGCCCGTCGCATATCTCCACTGGAAAGAGTCACAAGTGCTTTCATCCCATCTTCACTTATATCAACTCTGTAAGGAAACAGGCAGAAGGGATTGAGAGGCCCATGAAAGCCCAAGCATTCACCAAGGGAACAAGATGGCCTGGAATGATTAAGCTTTTGAAACAAAACAAAAAACAAAGAAAAAAAGGAATGATGGAGTTAACAGTGCTCTCCTGATCTCGAGGACCTAGAATTCACCCTGGTATTTTGGGATGATGGCTTCATAGTAGTAGTTACAGCCCTCTCAAAGTCTAGAAAGACCCTTTTGTAGGATCAGGCATTGCTATGCTGAGCAAATGGCTTTGAAATATGTTTTCTGGAGAGGAAAGAGCACTGGTGAGAGGTATCATGGAGTCAAAGCACCTCCTTTCAAATAACAGCAGTTCAGGCTGGTTACTTGATTGGCATCTGATTACTAAGAATGTAGTATCTCAGTACCTTCCCTTCTAGTCAAAAAATGGCTAGAGGCATCTTAGCAGAAGGGACTTGGCAGCATGCAGTTTGCAATGACAAAAGAGGAGGAGGAAACTGGGACAGCTTCCAGGGGAGGAAGATGGAAGAAAGACCAAATGACTTTTACAAAGAATGTTCATGACATACCAGAGAAAATAACAGCAGCTAAAAGACCCTGACGCTAGGCCCTCTGCTCAGTCATTTAAAAACATCACCTTTATGTAAACCACCCAGTCACCCCTAGAGCCCTACTTACACCACACTCAGTTCCCAAGACCCCCACCTTTCCTGTTTTCAATATACTTACTTCTCTTCTTCTACAACATGTTCCAGGCGTGGAACCATGAGTTCAGGAGTCAGGGGGCCGAATCGGAACCTTGTACAGCGGGACTGCAAGGCGGGGATAATCTTTGACAGGTAGTTACAGATGAGGCAAAATCTGGTATTTTCAGTAAATTTCTCAATCACTGGCAAGAGAAAAGAAAATTCCTCATGTCCATCCTGATTCATCCAAGGACCAAGAAATCTTGAACTTTTCTATGGTCATGCGAATGGCACAGGGAACAAGAATATAACTAGAATTGAAGAATGCAAACAAGTAGGGATGCTATTGTAATGAGAGGGTGTCATTGGGGTGGTCAGGATTGGGAATCACCCACTCTCTTTCCAAAAGCCGGCCAACATGTCATCTCCACGGGATTTTATGAAACACTTCTTTAAGATTCACCATGATTCCGGTGTTCTTGCTATCCCATTCCATTGAGCTATGAAACCCACTATTCCTGACCTTTTGGTTAAAATGTACTTGGCAGGTTGATGCTCCACCTTTTACCACGCAGGGCTCGCAGGGGGTGAGGGGTAGCTTTTTGCAGACTTCCCAGTGGATTTTGTCTGAAAGCCTTAGAGCATTAAAGAGAGCAATAATCTGAATTCAGAGATGCTCATGATGCCAGTTTCATTTGGTAAGTACCCAGTGTTTTTGCACAGGGATCTGCCCAGACTGACAGTCACTCTCTGCAGAACAAGATGCTAAAGAAAGACTGCCAAAGCTAGGACCAGAAGATATTCTGTCCTCCTCCTCCTGCTCTTAAACATTGGCCACATGCCACTCCTTTTCCCCAGAACTCCTAAAGATCATCCTTTTTTTCAGATGATTACCTCAAAATCTTGAAGAGGTTATGAATGTCCTTTCAAAGAAATTAACTGCCCTAGGCCCCTTATGGCAGGCAAACCACGCGATACTCTCCTGCCAAGTTATTTACTTTGAGTGTGACTGTTTCTGGAATTTTCGTGGCTATTCTGTATCTAGGGGTCTAACCCTTAGGATAAGGGTCAGCATCAGGGGGGTCTATCCAGCAGTTTAGGAATCAAAGACTTTTCATAACCTTCCATCAAATGATATAAAATTCCTAACCCTGAAACTGAAGCCAGTTAAGAGAATGAAACACCAGAAGTCCCAACAGGGTTTATGTATGTCTTTAAGCTGTTGAAAGGGGAAACCCCCAAAATGCAGACATTTTGCCTAGATCATCAGGTGGGATACCTGGAAAAAGGTATACAGAGCTCTCTGAGCCAGAAATGAATGAAAGTGGAAAACCAGCCCATCATATCTTATGTCCAAAATTCCTAATTCCTCTGGTGTGCTTATCAGCCAGCTCACTGTACTTAATAGCTCTTCTTACCTCTCCTCAAGGCGTTCTGGGCATCTTGCGTCATGGCATCGGCTTCATCCAGGATCACTAGTTTAAAGCCTTTCCTAGGAAAAACAAATGGTACCATTTTAAGATTTCTTCACCACTTCACCTTCCAGGCCTAAACCTACAGCTTCACATTTGTGCCATCAGACCCTGTTTCAGGGCCACTTCTCCTAAAATTCTGACCAAAGTAGACATCTGTGGTCACACAGAGGAAATGCCTCCATTGCTCCTTCAACTTTTAAAGGGAATTGAAGTCTGATTTCTGTGTTTTTGTTATAGTCTTCTGCCACCTTCCTATTTCTTCTGCACAGCATCCTGTTTCTCTAGTGCTGTGTTTTCCCACCACCTTCACTCACACCTGTCTTTTTATCTTTTTTTTTACCACCATTCTAGTTATCCATCCTGGTCTCAATTCATTTTCGTCTCAATTCAAACTAGCTTTTACAATGCAATCAGTCCTCAGTTAACTAAGAAAATGAAGTTAATGCTTCCCCAAAGAACTTGCTAATATAGACTTAGGTAATATTTTATTTCAATATTTACATTTTAATTTTTTTTTTAACCACTATCCCTACACTTGATCTCTTTTTCATGGCTGTTTTTGACAAAGTCATTTTTCTTCCCCTTTACAAACTGGCATAGGGGTGAATTTAAAAAAGCCTTATGATCTCACTGATCAAAATCTCTAGGGAAAGGAATTATGCAAATATTTCTTACTTAAATATTGTCCTTGTGCTAGCAAAGCTCAGGATTGGTCCCCGAACAATATCTATTCCTCGGTCGTCTGAAGCATTCAGCTAAATGAGGAAGAGAGAAGCCAGAATAAATAAAAAACATGTTGGTGTACTATTTGTGAATTAATGTATCTTTTCATCAATCCAGCTCAGCAAGCTAGGTTTCCAAGTCTAATGACAGCTAAGAGATAATCACTATTAAAAAAACAAGATCACATTTGTATTTAAAACTCATAACTCACTAGATCATTACACTCTGAAAGGCAAAAGACTGATTTCCGCCCCCCTTGCAAGGACAAATCACTGACATACCCAGAAGGAATAATTAATTGGCCAGGTCTCAGTGAACAGGACCTCTAACATGAGCTGAATGATGCTAAGTTTAGCTACCACAACCTAGAGCAACCCAGAAGTTATCAAGCTTTTAATACATTGAGGTAAGAACATGTGCATCAGCAAAGTTCTAAGATCTGGAACTAAATAAATAAATATATAAATAAAATTTTCTTGCAATCAACAATATTTAGAATTGTGTAATCTAACTGTATTGGTCAAGTCCCAGCAGTAAACTGTATACTCAAATTCAGTACTTTGAAGAGAATTACATAAATATTTTAAAAGGTGCTGGGGGGTGTGGGGAAACCACAATACCTCAGGGACTACCGGGTCTGTTACCAGCCCCAAGTCTTAAGGGGTTCGTGGGGGAGTGGTGTTGCCGTCTGGAGAAGCAGTGTGATGTGCCCTGTAGATGGGGATGCTGTCAGCCCATGGTGGCCCCCAGGCCAGGACCAGGCATCATTCTCCTCCCCTGCCCCGACTCCTGCCAAAGCCCCATTGGCCAAATCTCACCAGGAGTCAGAGGGCAGGGGAGCTTGTAGTCAACCCAGCTTAGCCTCCCAGGAAAAGAACCTGGTGCAGCAGTGTGAGAAGCCATCTGGAGAGGCCCATGGGAGACAGCCAGCACTGAGTGACCACTCACTGAGTGACCATTGAGTGTTTGGGTACAAGTTGGCAACAGCAAAGAAAAATAGCTAGCCCTAGAACTGTCTCCTAGCTAATGCCAATCCAGACCAAAATGTCAATTGTAGAAAGAAGTAAACTGAAATATTTTATGTCTGCTTTTTCCCCCCAACCACCAGCAGGACAACTTAGTTGTAAAATAAAACAAAACTAGCAGAACTAAAAGAGACTGGAGGTCGTTGTTGAGTAAGAATAATCCTCCTAATTACCTCCAAGACCATGGAGCCGAATTCTTTGTCTTTGTACAGCTGTTTCGCACAGGCTAGAATAGTGGATGTCTTTCCTGTCCCTGGAGGACCATAGAGAAGCAGGTGTGGCAATCGATCTTCACTGATAAATTTTTGAACTGAAGGTTAGGAAGAAAGAGACACCATCAGTTTCTGAGAGTTGCCTCATTCACTGTGGGCCCTTGAGTGGGGCTGAAGGTACTGCAACCTTACGTTTAAATCAGAGGCAGATGCAGGAATAAAAAACCCAAAGGATGCAACTCTTACAGCAACATTCCATAAAGCTCAATCAGATTCTTGAAAAGTTATTACTCAGCAAGGACACCATCACCAAGAAATGTATACAGGTCCTTCAACTAGGGTAATGACAACTGGCACATGGATGCTTACTGGTACTCAAAATGTCCTGATGAGAAATGAGATCATTCAGTGTCTGTGGCCGGTATTTTTCAACCCTGAAATACAATTTAGCATGGATTACACATGTATAAATGCAAGAACATTTTGTTATGTGCAAAAGAATCCTTTCATATCCTAACTAAAAGAAGACGACAAACAAAATCCTTTACATTTGAATGTAGACCAGTGTTCTCAACCAGGGGCAATTTTGTCCTCCTGGGAACATCTAGCCATACCTGGGGAGGACATTTTCAGTTGTCACAGTTGGGTGGAGGTTGCTACTGGTTATCTAGTGGGTAGGCACCAGGGGTGTTGTTAAAGATCCTTTAATGCACAGGAGAGCCCCCATACCCATCCTCCTGACCACGTATCTGGCCCAAAATGTCAATAATGCTGAGGTTGGTAAACTCTAATTTCACCTTTCCAGCTGTCTGCCTATCATCTCAACCAGGATGGGCACCTACTATGTCAAAGTGAATCCAATATCAAACTCATACCCAAGTATACAGAAACAGATAAATGGTGGTATATCCATATAATGGATATTATTCAGCCATGAAAAGAAGTGTGATACACACTACAACACGGATGGACCCTGAAAACATGGTAAGTGAAAAGAAGTCTGTCACAAAGGGCCATATATTGACTGTCTTTTTATGAAATATCCAGAAAAGGCAACTTCAGAGACAGTCAGCAGATCAGTGACTGTCAGGGGCTAAGAGAGGGGGAAATGGGAAGTGACTGCCAACGGGTATGTGGATTCCATTTGGGGTGATGAAAACTTCTGGGATTAGATAGTGGGATGGTTGCACATTATTAATACACTTAATGGTACCAAACTGTACACTTTAGAATGCTTACAACTGTATGTTACATGTTTTTACAATGATAAAAACAAATTAAGTTATTATTAGACAAGAACAACTTGGAGTTTTCTGAAATAAAGCCATTAGTCTTTAAACCATCATTAGGACACAGTGTGGAAGTAGAATGGTTAAGAGTGCAAGCTCTGAATTCCGACCACGTGGGTTCAAATCCAAACCCACTTTCTAGTTCTGGATCTTATTATGCAAGTCATTTGGTCTTTTAATTGCATTTTGATTGTAAAATGAATACTAAAAAATACCTACCTCCTAGGGTTTTTGTAAAGATCACACATCTAATAATAGGGTGCCTGCTAATCTAACAGAAGGCCATTTAAATAAAAGTTAACTAGGGAGTGTCATTACTAGTTTAGTTTAGAATTTGACCAATAATCGCATCGAAGGTTTTGGCAAGAGCGAAGAGGCCAATGCAATGTCAGAAGACGCGGGATCAGACCCCTGTGCTGTCCCCTCAGTGCGAAAGCCGCTTTACTCCAAGATACAAAGAGTAGGGGGTGGAAGGGATGATCTGGCAAAAGTGGTAAGAACGGAGGGGGACTAAGGAGTCGGGGGGCTCTCGAGGCAAACCTCTGTGGCTCAGCTACGGCCGCAAGTCCGGGGGTGGCGGGGCGGGGTCCGGCTGGGGCCTGACTACTTTCCCACCCGGCCCACACCTCCCCCCTTGGCAGCCGGCGCGACAGCCGGGCCTCCTCGTACCAGGGCAGGTTCCTGATCTTGGACGCCGAGGGCTGTTGCTGCTGCTGCTGCTTGTGCGCTGAGGTTTCCATGACGGCGTGACGAAGGTGTCCAGATCCGCTGTGTGGTCAAGTCTCCTGGGGGTCTGTCTGCACGGATCTAACCCTGGGACCCCCGCACTTAGAGTTCGCGCGCAAAAGCAACTCTCGCGAGATTTAGCCGCTGCTTCCGATTTCCTCTTTAGGTCCCGTCCCCCTCTGTTGCTAAGGTGCCGGTTGCCTAGTTACCTCGAAGCGCCGGCCGCCAACTTCCCTCGCGCTCACCGCTTCTAGCGTGCGGTGCTCAGTCTTCTGAGTCCCGCAACAGGGGCAGCAGGGAGAGGCAAGGCCACCCTTGCAACCTCCAGTCATCATTACGAATTAAAGTCATATGGCCAAAGCCAATCCCAGGTATCGCCAAAGTTCAAACACTTGCCGCCGTTCGAAAGAACAGAAAGCGGCCAGCGCTAAAAAATCCGGAAGAAAAACCCCCCAAATTCATGCCAGTTCTTGAATATAGATGCCATATGAAAAAAGGCCCCACAAACCTTTTGACCCCAAAGCTGTGAGGTGAGTACTCTGAATACAAAAGCAACTCCATACAAACACAATTTCAATCTGTCCCAAGTCCATGTCCCCCACCCAACAAAATCTAGAGAACCAACCTCCAGAAACAAGTCCAGAGTGAAAATAAACAATCAAACACATTTCCAGTTAAGTTAATATGTGTAATTGGAAAAGGCCAGTTAATAGGCATGGAGGACTGAGCCCCTATATTTTGACAACAAGGGGAATTGCTAACAAAATTTTAGTGTATTTTTTTTTCCTTATACACTAGGGATTATAGATCATTTCTATTTTCATCTATTTTGCTGATCTGTATTTCCCAGCAATGAGTGTCTATTGCATCCTTAATGAAGTTTTTGTTTTTTACATGTTGAGAAAGACAATGTTAGGAAATGACGCTGGCCTGGGGTCATAGTGTTCTGATTCAGAAGTAGCTGCTCCCTGCATCTTATTACATCGCTGTCAACTGCTTTAGAAACAGTACACGGACAGGGGGCAACTCCCTAGCCCCTGCCTGGGGACTCAGTAGAAGTCAGATGTGGCTTGTGGTATGACTATCCCCTACTCTCTGCTTCCTCCCAGGCCAACTCTAATAATGTAGTTGTTCAGATTATTAGCATATCACTTTTCCCACTTATCTTAGGGCAGGTTTCTTGCTCTTCTCCTCCCTCAATATCCACCCCAAAGTAATTGCAAGGATTAAATCAAGTAACACGTGTAAAGCATCCCGCGCATTGCCGCTTCCTCTCTCCCTCCCTCCTAGCACTCTCCCCGCTCATCCTGTTCTCGTTTCAAATGTTTCCCATCAAACAAAACCTAAAGAATTGGTGGGTGTGATGGTGCCTGTGAGGGTTAATTTTAAGTGTTATTTTGGGGCCATGTCTCTGAGGGTGTTTCTGGAAGAGATTTGGCGTTTGAATTAGTAGACTAAGTGAAGTTGTAAGACAGAGGAAGGGTGAATTTGCTCTGGGGCATCCATCTTCCCCTGCCCTGGGACACCTGTGCTCTTGATTCTCAGGCCTTTGGAATCAGACTAAATTACGCCTCCGGCTTTCCTGGGTCTTCAGCTTGCAGATGGCAGATCGTGGGACTTCTTGGCCTCTGTAAAATCAAGTGAGCCAATTCCTTTAATGTATAATATAAATAACTATATAAATATGACTATATAAAATATTCATTATATAAGTATATTATTAACATAATGTTGTATAGTAATAATATATTTTTATTGTATAATATAGAATATAGAAATATATTTTTAAACTGTACACAAATATAAATCCACATATATATTTTTTCTATTGGTTCTATTTCTGTGGAGAAGCCTGACTAAAATGCCACACCCTGGGCTTATTCATGGAGAGAGCCCTCTTGCTAAGGAACCTTTGCATTAAAAACATGATTCCGCCACTTCCTTGAACTGGAAGATGCAAACATGACTGGCTCAAGTTCTCATAAAACTCTGTGTACACCTGCTGTTCAGTTTCCTTGGAATGTAGCATTCTTCTGTGTGCCATGTTGTGTATTTACAGGTCATTGTGTGCCTCTACAGTGGATTGCAAGCTCACTGAAAGCTCATAGGCTTTCACCTATTCACCGCTGTGCTCCTGATGCCTGGAACACTGCCGGGCTCAAAGGAAGCACTCAATTAATAATTGTAAAATGATTGAATGAATGAGTGTTAATAGCTAATATTTATTAGGCATTTATTAATATTATAGGCCAGACACTGTTCTAACTGCTTTACATTTAATATACTTGCTTGATGGTTGTGATAAGCCCAAACTAATATCATTGGCCCCATTTGATGTATGTTCCGTAACTTGTCCATGTTCTGAGGATTTGTCAGGGCAGAACTGGCTCTTAGCCGAGGTAGGCTGATTCTGTAGCCTGAGCTCTTAGCCACTGCACTAGTGTGGTCCTTGGAACAGCAGCAGCAGCGGCATCCCCTGGGAACTTGTTAGAAATCTTCATTATTTTCCCCCTTACCCCAAATCTGAGACTCTGGGGATGGGCCCAGCCATCTGTGTTGTAACGGGCCCTCCCGGGGATTGTGATGTGATCAAATTTGAGACTCACTGCCCAACACTCTATTGCTTCTCAAGCCTTGAGCTCTTCATGACTCCACTTTCTAAGAATGGGTACTCCCATGCATGCTCTGGGAAAATGGAGGTGTTCTACTAAATGTCATTTATGTGTGTTTCCGTTTTTGCAGTTGTTTGAAGGTGTAGTCTTTCAGGCAAGGTATTTGGTATTTCTTTGGACCTCAGTGTTGGCACCTGTAAAAAGGGGTGGTGACGGAGGGCTGGACCAGAGAGAGGGATGACATTAAAAGTACCTGAGAATTTTTAAAAATGTCAATGTCAGAAATCCAGCCAGACCAATTAAATTGGGCCTCTTGGGGGTAAGGCCTAGCATTGGCATTTAAAAAAGCTTTCCAGGTGATTCTAATATTTAGCCAAAGTTGTACTATAGACTAAGCAATCACAGCAGCCCTAGCTCCCTGATGAGCTTACAGCGTGAGCATGTGACACAGTTCTGCCCAATGAGATGTAAGAGGAAATGTGGGGTGAGGGGCTGCCCTGGGAATCTTACCTCATTACTTTGCTGAGCCTTGCAGTAGGTGATTTTTAGCTTCTCTCCCAGTGCTGAAATTCTATGACTTTAAAGAGAAAGAGAGAGATGAAGACCAGGGTTACAAACTCACATGTCTGTAAGTAGCATGGAAGTTAAGCTATAAAGGAAGAGGGTTGGGTGGAAACTCTGCCCTGCCTCACGGAGGCACAGTTTGTAGATGGAAGATTTAAGCAGCAAAAGAATATGGAAAGGAAATATTGAATAGCTCGCAATCAGCACGCAGGCTGGAGAGCCCCACTTGGAAAACGGAACAAAGATAGCCCATGGAACTACAACATGGTCAAAATTACTCCGCAGAACCAAGCCAGTGAGGAAACTGTGGCTGCTGCTGACCTTTGGATCCTACTGCCCCTGCAGTCCCTAGAATCTGGACGTTGCTTTCACCATTTCTACTATCAGAAAGAATTCACCAGTTCTCTCCTGTACTGGATCTTTCCTAAAACTAGCTCCCCATTGAAAAGCCTGGGAGATGTGTCAAATTGGCCAGGCCTAGGTCACCTGCTAGTGAGCACTTCCTATACAGCTTGACTGACGGGAAAGACACCTGCCTCCCTCTCACCAAGCCTTGTGAACTGGTAACAATTGCTGAACACAGGAGAGGGTTCCGATGCTGGCAGCCAAAGGATTGCGGAAGTCTATGCATCGACCTTTAGCCATTCCCCACTGACAGCAGACACATGTTGCCGTATCTTCTAATTTTTCAAGAGAAACCAGAAATTTGCATTTTTATGTGAATTCCTGTATTTATTCATTGGCAACTAGTTAAGAAAAATAGTGCTGGCCAAACAGAAATCCTGTAGAAGCACGTCGTGACTTGATTTCTCAAGGACAGACGACTGGGCAAAAAAGATCCAGCAATTCCTTCTTGCCCTCTGAGAACTTCTGGAGGACCAAGGGCAAATCAAGCTGGTGCCTCTTTGTGGCCTGTGACACTGATGAGCACAGGCACAAACGTTTCTTATGTAATCAGGATCAGACTTGGAAATGCACCAGGTCCTGGAGATGGCGGGATCAGAGGATACAAACAAAATTACCAATGAAAGGCATTTGCTCTTGAAATTGAATAAGGGAAAGGGAGCCCTGGATTTTATTACTCTCGGCGTTGAAACTAACTTGGCTTTGGACACAGTACTTACTGCCTTCGTTTATTTTTAAGACTTGTTTTTATGAGAGAATGGGATGCGAGGCTATCTTTGGAAGATGCTGGCAGAAGAAAATCAAACTGGGTCTTTCTCCTGAGCATGTTTATACTGGTGAAATCATGTTTAAATGAACAGCAAGGACTTGAAGAAGGAAAATAAAAATCTCAGAGAGCAATTTGAAGAGTGTGTATGAGGGGAAAGGCCATCTTTGGTGACCATGGCAAAAATCATTGACTGATAAGGAATTTAATTCCTCAGATCTTTTGGGGGCACTTGAATTCTTTCTTGTCAGAAGCCCAGAAAATGCTCCACATCAAGGCTCAGGGAAATCAATTCATCAGCCCCTACCATTTGTTGATTGAATAACTGATAAATGGTTATTTATTGATTCCTGAATTTGATTCTCTTTCAGTTTGAGATTAAAAGGGTAACTCACATGAATTTGCTCTGTGATACTTGGGCTCAAAAAAAGAAAAGGTCACATTACTTAATTTTTCTAGAATAATTATATTTGGCTCAGGTCTTCTAATGGTCTTTTCTCAAGCTGAGGTAGTTTGGAATTTCAGTCTGTGGGGAGTTTGGAGTTTGGTTCCTTCACTTCCCTGAGGTTATGTAGGAAGCCCAAGAGATTGTGGGGAAATAGGATAGAAAATTGGGAGAAGGGCTTTTGCTCTGCAGTCCTGTCTGTAGTCCATTGGAACAGATGCTCTTTGTAGGGACTGAAATGGTTCTGTGGAAGACAGGCAGCTCTGCTAATAGTGTCCTTTCCTTCAGTGTCTATCTCAGCTGCTCTGAAGTTGTGCCGTTTGCTTCCTGTGGCACAGGATT